TCAGCCATTAAAAAGAATTCATTTGAATCAGTTCTAATGAGATGGATGAAACTGGAGCCCATTATACAGAGTGAAGTAAGCCAGAAAGATAAAGACCAATACAGTATACTAACGCATATATATGGAATTTTAAAAGATTGTAATGATAACCCTATATGTAAAACACAAAAAGAGACACAGATGTACAGAACAGACTTTTGGACTCTGTGGGAGAAGGCGAGGGTGGGATGTTCTGAGAGAATAGCATTGAAACAAGTATACTATCAAGGGTGAAACAGATTACCAGCCCAGGTTGGATGTATGAGACAAGTGCTCAGGGTTGGTGCACTGGGAAGACCCAGAGGGATGGGATGGGGATCGGGATGGGGAACACATGTAAATCCATGGCTGATTCATGTCAGTGTATGGAAAAAACCACTACTATATTGTAAAGTAATCAGCCTCCAACTAATAAAAATAAATGAAAAAAAAAAAAAAGATGGGCAGATGAGCATCTGTCACAGTAAGTGGGGTCCTCTAATGCACTGGGCCCTGAGCCACGGAAGTCTGAGCCTCTTGAGTCCTTTGAGAGCTGTTCTTAGTTTGCTGTGCCTTGTGGCTTTCTGGGATGTGAGCTCTTTTGTCTTCAGAGCTAGATGTTTTCAGTTTTTGTCTCAGGTTCAAACTCAACCCTTAACCCTCCAGGGAAAAGCTCTGGGTTTTGCGTTTTCTCCAGGTTGTGGGTCCTCTTCCTGAGGGCGGGGTTTACCATGAGATTGTGTCTCAATATCTCCTACCAGCTTAGATGTCATTTTCTTCTTGTTTGCCTGATCTGCTCAGATACTTTGGAGGGTTTTTTTTTTTTTTTTTTTGGAGGAAATTGTTCCATATATAGCTGTCGATTAAGTTTCTGTGGGGGAAGGTGAATCCAGGATCTTCCTGTGTCACCATCTTGAATCAGAACCCTGTATTTATCATCTTGCAAAAATATATTTTCTGATTTTATCTTGAGTGCATACTGCTGTGCCACTTTTTCTAATATATATGCATGGTTTTTACATGCATCTTTAAAAAAAAATTCAGGCAAGGCTTTCCTGGGACTTGTGCTGCAGCACAAGGGAGTGACCTCAAGAAACAGGATACCCTCGCTTGCTCTCTGAGGAGAGCAGGCTGGTTCCTCGCATGGAGTGAGGGTAGGGGCGGCTTGTGGTTGGGCAGAAGGGATGGTCCAGCTGGCCTGCCCACCCCATGGTGTTGCTGTGTACAGGGGTCATGCATAGTACTCTGCTTTTGCCCCAGGTACCTCAGAAGTGGCTGTTGGTTTGTGGCCTTTTTGTGGCATTCATACTTTTGTAATATTATTCATAATTACCCTGACTGCCATACATTTGGTTGTTTTTAGTCCCTTAAAGTTTGTATTCTATTGCTCAAGGAGACATTTGTCCAGGTGCAGGCACTCCATCCAATAAAAGGTCTCAGATTCGAGATCCCAGCCTATCTGAGGTGTTTATGCATCTTTTTTTTATAGTTTAGCATTTTTAGCAACTCATCTATACAATTAATTTTTCTTTGAAATTTTCTAGAAAAGCAGTCTTGACTTTCAGTCAGATTTTGCCAAACATAGTGAAAGCTACTGAACAATTGCTATTTGAACAAGTTTCATGGATTAGGTGTTCTGCATTTCTTCTCTGAAAATGTTCATTGATGCCAGTAGAATGCTCAAAACTCAAATATGGCCTTTCTATTCACGTCAGCTGTGACCAGTTGAACTTATGTTTTCTAAAACATATTTCTTTTTCATCGAAAGAAATCAAAATATTCTTTTTAAGGGGTGTTCTTATTTTTTGAATTTATATGATATCTAATTTACTTATATAATTATAAAAACTAGTGGCACCTGCCATAAACAAATTCCATCTATACTGCATAGCAATTGTTATTTAGAACAATTAAGGAACAATTTTACAAATTTACTCCTAAAATCTAATTGCATGTTTTTCCTCTTTCTCTTTAGCCTGTACAGTAACCCAGGTGGGATGCCTCCTTATGCTTCTCAGGGTTTCCCATTTCTTCCTCCGTATCCCCCACAAGAAGCAAACAGGACTATCAGCTCTTTATCTGTTGCTGACACTGTTTCTTCTTCAACAACAAGTTATACAACTGCCAAACCCGCTGCTCCTTCATTTGGTGTCCTTTCAAATCTGCCATTGCCCGTTCCCACAACAGACACTTCAACACCGGTTGGTATCTTCAGATATCTGCATTTTGTACCCTTGAAATACTCAGTCAGCAAACATCATATTCCTCCTCATGCCAACCACTATGGCACAAAAGATTAAAAAGTTTAATCACATTTTCAACTTAAGGAACCGTGTCAAAGAGGTAACCATCAAATAAATAACTGTAAGTAGAAATGTTAGTCTAGAGTTACTATGAAGACGCAGTTGAGGGAATAGTCAGTGCTCCCAGGGACCACTGTAGAGCTAGAAAGATAACCTTTATATAAGATGAAATTCTTTTTTTATACCACTTTATTCTTGGTGCCTCAAAGCATGCCTGATACATACAGTAGGTGCTCATTTAAAATGAGGCAGATGAATGAATGAACTCATACTTGAAGCCACATTTTGATAGATGGTAATGAATTTTCCAGGATGATAAGGTGTCATGTAAGGTAATTCTAAGAGGCAACAGCTCTGACAAAAATGTGGAAGCATAAACCAGTTGGCACATTTGTGAAGCCGCCTGTTACAGAACCCTCAGGTTTCATACAGAACACAGGCAAAGACACAAGAAGGGTTATGTAGGAGACGCACGTATCAGGTTATGGAAGGTCTGCCCTAGGGTACTAAGGACATTTAAACCAGTGTCTCATTGGTTTAAAAAACTGTGTTCTTAAATTAAGCTAGTAACTGCTGCCACAAGGGACATTACTGAGGGAAAGACTGTGCATTAAACATATTAAGGGGATTTAAAGGCCTTTATTTTTAACCCTTAGTAAAAGAGAACTTTTCATGGGTCCTTGATTTTAAAATGTGACCTATATATTCAGACAATGTATACCCTATTCCTTATCTTCCTAGTAACTCTTGAGACTTTTCGCCAAGTTAGTAATTTTTCTAAATGTAATGCCTTTCACTTGAGACAGACATACTCATATACATCAATGAAACACGCATATAATTCTCCACATTTGTCACAGATATCTCACAATTGGAGATTTATTTTATAACCACAGGTAGTCACATGATCCTTCCTCATCAAAAAAAAAAAAAGCCAGTAACCCTATATGTATAAAGATACACTGAAAAAGACAGTGAAAAAAGAATGGGAGGGTCAGGACAGTGTGGAGTGCCAAGAGGATGTGTGATAATGAAAATAGTTATGGGATGCAGTACATTAAAAGTTACTTTTATAACCAGATAGGAATAGTCAAAAAGATGGCTAAAACTTAGCACTATTTAAATCTCTCTTTAGATAAGCCAAAATGGTTTTGGTTACAAGATGCCCGATATTCCTGATACATTTCCAGAACTCTCAGAACTAAGGTAAAAAAACTTGGACAGTAACATTGGTGTTTGTTGTCTATTTAATTTGTAAATGCACACATCATTTTCATGTCATCACTATTCCTATATCTTAGTGGGAAGTGGAAAGTTTTGTGAATCTGTGGTATGTCTTGCAGTTCATATTTATTGACTTTCTAGTCTGTATCCAGGAATTTCTTTAGATCCTGGGAATGCTTTAACAGTTATCAAGATAACAATGTCCTTTCTCTTGTGTGGCTTACCTTCTTGTGAAAACTATTTCTGAATAGATTAAACTTCTCTTAAAGTAATAGGTGTTTTTACAAAGCCATATTTTATTCAGATTTACGGCAGAAAAGTTGAATATTCAAGTTTAAGGTATCATTTTTCATGAGACACTGTTTCCCTAAGAGTCTCCATGAAAAGAATGTTCTGTGGCCACTCAAGCTTGTGAAGTTGCATTCTTTATACCACTGTTGAAGGTTTACAGTAGTCATGAGGCTGTTATCAGTGAGACTACTGAATGCTATTTAAAATGTTTGCAGTTGTTCTTGTCTTTAGTATATATCCCACCAGGGATGTACAGCCAAATACTCATGAGAAATCCTGTAGTTAAAAGAAGTTTAACTGTGTTTGACCTAGTGTTTTACAATCATTTTAACAAAAGAGTCCCTTATTTTGTGCTAATAACTTTAATTAATGAAATTTACAAATACCACATACATGCTATAAAGCAGTTGCATGCAGTGTGATGCTTACAGCCACCCCAGAAAACAGGTATTATTATTGTTGCCATGTTATAAAGGATTTTCTCTTTCCTTTCTTCCTTTTTAAAAAAATTATTATGAAAATGTCAGTGCAAAAAGATGAAACCTCTTTGCTAACCTTCCTCCAGCTTTTTTCAGGAAGTATGGGTATAGGTCAGAATTAAACTCATAAAACTTTTAAAAATATTTGAAGTATTTCAATCCATTACTATCTTTTTTTTCTTTCCTTTTTTCTTTTTTGACATTTAAACAGTTCCATCTTTAGTCAGTAGGGAACTTTGGCAAAACAAAGATGCCATGGGTTCATCGTGAACAGTATTTTTCCCTGACCTAAAGTCAACCATTTTTCTGAAGGGAACTTATTCTTTTTCAAAATAACAATTCCAATAAGATAACAATATCAATAACAGTTATTGAAAGCAGAGTAAGTTTTTATTTCTTTAGTTTTTTACACTTCATTTGTCTTTAGGATATATTTCATCAGAGATGTACAGCCAAATATTATTTTTTTTTCAAATATTATTTTTTAAAGGCTTTTTAATGAAACTTTTTTGGGTGACAATACAACTTAGAAAAAAAAACAGGTCCATTTATTTCTTCTTGCTTTGAACTTTAGAGACTTTTTTTCCTTGTTTAATTTTATTTTTAAATTATTTAATGCTTTTGTGTGGATCTCTAGTCAAAACTGAAAGATGCTCAAACGCTTTAGCTTGCCCCATACCCCATCCTTCCAATTCCCTCTTACACTCTGTGGATATTGATTTTTGTTTTGGGATTACCCTTCCACCATTGTTTTGTAAAAACATTTTTATGAATACATGTACTTAGACACATATACCTCTATCATTTATTGTGATAGCCACATGCCTATTAGCTAAATCATCTTGATACTGTGTTTAGACTACTTTTTGTTCCATTGTGTTCAGTGTTTTATTTGCCTTTAAGGTTACAGTTTGCTTTCTTCTGTGTATATATAAAAATACATGTCAAAGATTATGTAGAACTCTGTCAGCTGAAAAAAGCTGAAAAACTGAGTATTTATCGTCATGGAGAAAAACTAGATAACTGATATTCACTAACATATTTTCTTCCGTTGTGTCTCTAGTGTGTCACAGCTTACAGATATGAATGAGCAAGAGGATGTATTGCTAGAGCAGTTTGTGACTTTGCCTCAACTAAAACAAATTGTTACTGACAAGGATGACTTAGTAAAAAGTATTGAGGAACTAGCAAGTATGTCTGTCTTTACTTTTTAAATTTCCTAAGAAATATGTGATCTTTATCTAGAAATAAACTAGAATTTATCTTACAGGAAAAAATCTCCTTTTGGAGCCCAGCTTGGAAGCCAAAAGGCAAACTGTTTTAGATAAGGTACGAGTTAGTTATCATTTTTAAGAAGTCCATATAATTTTAAAGTGGAATGAAACAGCATCTTAATTTTCTCTTTTAGTATGAATTACTTACACAAATGAAATCAGCTTTTGAAAAGAAGATGCAAAGGCAACATGAACTTAGTGAGGTAAGATTGTTGAGCTGTTTTCTTTTACCATAAGAATTTTACTCTTTTTTTTTCTTTTGATAGTTAATAAAAACATGTTTATTTTTGTCTTCAAAGAACAAACCATTCTTTTCTCAATATAATCTTGATTAACTTACAAAAATGGGCATTTACAATGCATCTTCAAAGCATTTCCCTTTAATGGGAAACTTGACTTCACAGAACACAAACATTAAAAGGCTAATAAAAAAATAAAAGGCTAAAACAAAAACTTTTGCTGTCATTATAAGACAAAACAGAATCTAACATAAGTCAGGGAAATCCATTCATATTTCAAGGCTTTGTCCTCCAGGAACCAGCATTGTTACGTTATTTCCATTTAGCAAAATTTGATCTAATTTCATAATTCTTCTTCCTTCTGGATTGATTTCAAATTCAATGACATCTTCCTATACCATATTGACATAGTCACCAAATCCCAGAATTATACCAACAATTTCCTCATCACTCTTCATCTCAATGTGAATTCTTGATCCTATACACTTGTCCACAAGCTCTGGAGGAAGCAGCTACAATGGGTTAGTGGTAGTTAGCTGCCATGGCTAAGCCGGAAGTGGACTACAGTTTTTACTCTTAATATGCACGTGCCACATTCTTAAATGTATTATTATCAGAAAGCATTTATTAGGCATTCGAGTTTATAAGGCATGATAAATAGCCTTGAGTTATGCAGATGAACAGCTCTCAGTTTTATGAGCCATTATCAGTCATTTGTGCTCCTGCAAGAGCATTTGGTTCCAAAACAGAAAAATATAAAAAGCCTCATAAATAACTGTTCTGGGAGAGTTATTATAAAGCCAATTTAACTCTTCTAATAAAAGTTAAAAAGAAAAATTTTAATTTTAGACTCACTTGCAAGCCTGTATACAGCTATCTTAAACAAGAAGTTAGCAAATTGGAAAATATAAAGTATAATTCACCACAAATAATAACTTTATAATAGAAATCCAGTTATGTGAAAAATTGAAAGCTTTTATAAAATTCAACCCTTATTTCTGAAAAAAAAAATGTTTAATTAAAAGGGGGAAATCATTTTTAAAATTAAATAGGACATAATCTTCATATATCAACAACCCACATCATAACTAACAATATTCTGTTTCCTTTAAAATCAGGAATTCTAGGAAGTGAAGCCAATGTAGTAAAACATAAATAGAAATAAAACAACAGCAAAAACAAAAATGGTAAAAGAATATAAATTCATAAAAGATTTCACATAATATGATTATTTTTAACTTTTTATTTTGTATTGGGGTATAGCCAATTAACAATGTTGTGATAGTTTCCGGTGAACAGCAGAGGGACTCAGCTGTACATATACATATATCCATTCTCCCGAAAACTCCCCTCCCATCCCTGCTGCCATGTAACATTGAGCAGACTTTCCCATGTGCTACCCAGCAGGTCCTTGTTGGTTAGCCATTTTAAATGCAGCAGTGTGCACATGTTGATCTCAAAACTCCCTACCTGTCCCTCTCCCCCATCCTTCCTGCTTAATAACTGTAAGTTCATTCTCTAAGCCTGCTCTATTGTCTCCTTGCTTTCTTCCCCATGTAGTCTCCCTCCATTTGTACCAAAGTCTTTGGGACGTTCTGGCCTATCTCAGTTTTTCCAAGGAAAGATTTGACTGTTTATTGATATATTTTTGGCTATTATGTTCCTGTTTGGCTATTAAAAGGCATATGGTACTCTAGATCTTTGTCCTGGAGTATAATTTCATTGCCTTAAGGAGCACTGGAATCAGAGGGTAATATGAGAGATTTTTAAGGTTACTTGATCCAACCAGTTGCTGACATTGTGCAATTGTTATATCTTTTTGCATTGCACTAAGCTCGTTGCATATATTGCCCATTATTCCACACAAAAACCTATGAGGGTAGGTATTGTTACGATTTTTCCATTTTACAGATGAGGAAACTGAGGCACGTGGATATTAACATCCCTGAGATCATACAAATGGAAAGTGTCAGAGTCAGGAATCGCACGTAAGGAGTCCTCCCTCTCTCTTAGCCAGAAGATCTGAGAGAATCAATTGAAATACTTTTGGAGGCACTTTAGAGCTTACTAGATGAAGAGGCTTTTCCCAAAATTGAGCAGCATTCCTTAGACAAACTTAAACTAATTTCTTAATTTAATAAAGAATACTAGAAACCAAAAGCAAACATCACAGTTAATGACTCAACATTTCCAGGATCATTTTAATGTTAGGAGTGAGACAGTGATGCCCCAATATCACTGCTATTTAACTTCTACCCCATTTTCCCGTCCCACTAAGGAGTTTTTCAGAGCACTAGAAATTAATGATTTTCTTTCTTCCTTGATTTTCTTTTTCAGAGCTGTAGTGCAAGTGCTCTGCAGGCAAGATTAAAAGTAGCTGCTCATGAAGCTGAGGAAGAATCTGATAATATTGCAGAAGATTTCTTGGAGGGAAAAACAGATATAGATGATTTTCTCAGTAGCTTCATGGAAAAGAGAACAGTATGTAATATTCTTCTGTTGAGGACAAGTGACAGCATAATATCAGATTACTTATATATATTCATGAGTGAAAAAAAAATCTTAGCATGTTACTGAGCTGGAGTTTTGAGTGCCATGAGAGGAAACTGAAGAGCCTCTGAGAATGATAGCAACTTGCTGCTATCACTTTAAACCTGCTTGTTGCGAGTACACAAGCATGTAAATCACATAACAGTTCTGTTTCAGAAACGATAGCTCAAGTCTACTCTAGTCTTAATAGTCAGATACTATTTCTTAAAGTCTTTAATGAAGCTTTTTTGGATGACAGTATAACTTAGGGGGAAAAACAAGTTCATTTATTTCCATTTGCTTCGAACTTTAGAGAATTTTTTTCCTTGTTTAATTTTATTTTTTAATTATGTAATGCTTTTGTGTGGATCTCCAGTCTAGTCTTAATAGTTGTGATATACTCCTGAATAACCTGTTTCATAAGCTGTTTAAAATTTAGGAGAATAACTTTAAAAGGTTTTTTTCATTTGTTTATTGCCCACACTACATGGCTTGTGGGATCTTCATTCTGCACTCAGGGATTGAACCCAGGCCACTGCCATAAAAGTGCCAAGTCCTTCCCACTAGATCACCAGGGAATTCCATATGGAGATTTTTTTTTTTAAATTTTTGTGTTTTAATATTACTTGAGAACATTCTGGGGATAGTTTCTGTTCTAATGTTTCCATTATATTTAAAGAAAGGATTTTGAAGTCTGCTTAGCAGTATCTTATCCTTTGAGAGAGTCCTATGTATTTACCTAATTTCTCTGCAACATCACAGTTATTTATAAACTTTATACAAATTAAGTGCTACTGTAAAGGAAAGTGGGCCAGATTTTATTATTCCTGTTTTCCATAAGAGAAAATTGAAGTTCAGGGACATTACTGACTATAGCTTTAATGAGGCATTCATTTCTAGTCCTTTTTTTTTTTTTTGGTACTTTATAACTGTATCTTGAGGTTTTTTATTTGTTAAGCTTCCAGGGTAACAACAGTAGGATTTATTTTCATATTTTTAAAACACAGATATTTGAAACTATATAATCAGAACTGGTATAAAGGATCAGAGTGTGTTTTACATTCTAGTGGTTTACAAAGATTATCTTCCAAACAAATTTTTTTTTTTTTTGGATTCTTAAATTCTGTGCCACCTTAGACATCCACAATTTAATGTCAACAAGTTAAAAGATTCTTACTTAGAATTCTGTCAAAATGTAGCTAGTTGTAGGAAGATTATTGGAGAAGTGACTAGTATTTAAATAATTTATCTTCTAGATTTGCCACTGTAGAAGAGCCAAGGAAGAGAAACTTCAACAAGTGATAGCAATGCACAGCCAGTTTCATGCTCCACTATAGGTAAATTGTATTCTGGAAGGTTTGTGTCTTGAGGCTATTGCATGGCTCTTTTTAATGAAGTGTTCTTACCAGTGCTTGTTCAGCCAGCTTTAAGCATAATACTATCATTACAGCTACCATGCTATATAACATGTAGAATACTTTGCATTATCTATTAAGCATGATGTTATACACCTAAGCATATGGCCAGTACAAATTGTTTGCATGTTTTCTCAGTATGATATTTGCTTAAATGAGTTTTGTTTTCAGTATTTGATAGCTACATATGTAGAGTTTAAGTTCCTTTCTCTCAGCTGGTGTGGGACATATACCATAACACTTAAGTTGACATATATCTCAGTAGTCTCCTTTGTCATTTTTTTTTTTTAATGAACTTCCAATCTGTCTCTTTTCCATCGATTCCAGTGAGTTTCTGATCAGTCCTCTGACTTGAGGGTTTCTCCTTTGTGCAGAGCACTGACAAAATGATCGTCCTAAAATACCACTCTGTGATAACATCTCTGCTCTAGGACCTTTAAAGAACCCTGGGGATGATAAGTGCCATGTTTCTCTCTCTGGTTGTAAGCCTTTTATAAGCTGGCTTACATTTTAGATCATCCATTCTAATTTTCCATTTTCCTCTCCTGTGTTCTCCTCTGTCACGTTCTTTTTTCTACCATCGTTCTTTTTTCTACCCTCATTCTTTTTTCACGTTCTCATCTGATCTCAAGACATTCTTCCATTTTCCTCTCTGTCTTGTTTTAGGACTGGATTTGGTTGCAAAGACTAGCCCCCACCTCAACAAATTTAAGTAAAAGCTTGTGTTCCTGGATAATGCAGGGAAACAGCCCAAATATAGGAAAGCACACCTTAGTCTCCTGGGAGTGAAAGCATGAGGCCTTCTGTAACCAAAGCAGCTCTTCTTCTTTAGATGTTGTCCCAGGCTGCTTCTCATTTCTGCGTTCCTCCCCTTTTCTGCCTCTCGCTCTCATGGGCCTTCTCACTGGCTCTTCAAAGAGCCTTTCTTTGCTGCACTTGCAAGTGGTTCAGCCACTGCTGCCCACAGGCCTGATCTGATGGTCCAGGCAGCCGGGGGAGACTGACTGGGGTCTTACCACAGATCAAGGAAAGAGACTGGCCCCGTGTAGGTGGTGTCCGTCCTGACCTCACGGTTTTACCTGAAAACTGGTGCCATGTGGTCTTCTGTCTGCTTTGCTGGGCTGGAGGAGCAGATGTTGAGAAGAGCGTGTGGGAGTTTCCTTTAAAAGGGAGCCGGCTACAGGGAGGGAGGTGACAGGCATTTCTCATCTCCAGCTCAAACTCATCTGCCCCTTTTCTCAATTTAGCTGTCCTTAACATTAGTAGAAGGAAATGGCAGCCCACTCCAGTGTTCTTGCCTGGAGAATCCCAGGGACGGCGGAGCCTGGTAGGCTGCCGTCTAAGGGGTCGCACAGAGTCGGACACGACTGAAGCGACTTAGCAGCAGCAGCAGCAACATTAGTAGCAACATTGAGTTGTTTTATTTTATAACTCAGATTGTTAATCCCTGAGGGTAAGTGTTGATTTTTAATATCAAGTATACATATCTCAAGGTTGAGAAGTGGGCAGTGAGTTATTCTCTGTTGACACATGCATGCTAGAATCCTTTCCCACCTCTTTTCCCTCATTGTCAGGTTACCTTCTTATGAAATCTTAATTTATCAACTTAAAGTAAATCTTAGGTTTTTGATTTTCTTTTCTTTTCAGATTTTCCTGAAAACATGAACTGCAAAGAGAGGAATGGGACACAAAACTAAGCACATTTATATTTATGATTTGCAAATTGGCATTTCATCACAATGGCTGAATTCCTAGATGTATTATATAGGTTGTATACAGAACTGAGACTGATTTTGTACAGATTAGAATGATTGCTATGATCTTTGCTTTGAAAATTTTTTCTGCACTATTTGCACTAAAAATGTTTATTTATTGTTGATAAATTCTATCATATTTAAGTTCCACTGCTGTTCCTCTCTTATTACTGATTAAATACCTGTGCATGTAATTTTAGCTACTTTCAATATTTTATAAAATGACTTCATTTAAATTTGTATTTTTAATTTGAAACTGCCTCATTTCTTTATCAAGGATAGTTTGCTTAGATTTTTTTTCCTCTCAACCCTTTTTGAAAAATTACTATTTCAACTGTAGAAAGATTCTTATTTTTTCTCTTTCTTTCTGGATGATAAAACTTTGAAAAATAATGTTTTTAAATATTCATAGTGTCAGGAAACACCAAACCTGCCAATGTGCCATCTCAAGTAATTTTTAATACACAGAATAAATCAAAAGAATAAGATAGCAGTTTTTATATATTGTCTTATTTTTAAAATTAAAGATGCATTTAAAAGGCAATACAGGTAAATATTTTACCTAATAGAAAAACTGCCTTTCATTTAAACTAGTCTAACATAAACTTTCATGCTGGCTTTTTAAATATAAGCATCTGATGGGTTTGTGGTTAGATGAGGATATGCTGTCTGAATTCTGAAATTTAAAACAATATTTTTGTTAATAAATAGTAAATCTAAAGAACACAAAAAAGTCAGTGAAATTTTCTGACCTTTACTGTGTTAGCTTTTCTCTTATGAAAGCTTTAATAATAAATAAAACTAATATTCAATTTTTAGGCAGTCTAGTTTTTAATTTGATTTTCACTTTAACTTGTATACGTTAAACAGTTTGCTTTTACAGTTCGTTACAGAATGAACATATTTTATGGATAGCCGTGAAAGCCAATTAAGCAGAAAATCTTGAACTAGATTTCCAAGGCTTGGTAAAGTTTCCTAATGCCTATTTTCATTTAAACTTCATTATGATTGCCATTCCAAATCCTAGCATACAGTACAGGTTTTTTTTCTTCATTCTTCTTTCTATACATATTTCTGGCCACAGGTAGGAAAAATAAAATTTTCTGAGACTTGAACAATGTTTAATACTGAGTCTGTGTTTAAGGAAGGGCAAGTATTCTCATAGACTATAAAGATATAGTTTGAGTAAAGAAATTAACTTTTTTAACCTGTCTTCTGGTACTATGCTAAGAGCATGCCATTTAATCTTCAAAATGACCTGACAAGGAAGTTATGATTATTATCCCGGACATATAGTACATAACTGAGGTAAGTGTTTCAGATTTGTTGCAGTCTTCTGGGTTTTGAGAAACCTTTCCTTATTGCACTGGCCATATAAGCTTCAGTTTTCCCAGCTGTCACAGTGGAGGACATGATTATCCCAGTCTTTTGGAAGCAATCAGGGAGCTTTCCTAAGAACCAGACAGAACCCAGAACAAGAGCCCAGCAGACCACAACCATTAATTCATTTGATTTATTAATTTTATTAAGCCCTCTAAGAGTGAGGCACTGTGGAAATACTATCCAGTGACGACTCAAACATGGCCTAGGTATTTATGTACTTGTCCACCTTCTTCTCCACCAAAAAAAGTCATTTTCATACATAGTAAATCTCTTCTACATAATTGCATAAGTAATTCATCTCAATATCTTATTTTTTTAAACTTGAACTATCCCAGTTTCATTCTATACCAGTTAACATACCTTGGTTTCTTCTTCTAAAATTAGGTAACCTCCTTACAACCTAGTCATTAAAAAGAGGACTCTGATCATCATTATCTGCTTTTAATATATCGGATATTAGGTCATAGACATCCTCCAGGATGGAAATTAGTCTACATTTGAATATGTATGAATTTTGGTTTTGTTATTACAATAAAAACTTAAGTGACTTTTCTATAGTACTAGTATTATTTTTTTCTTAAAATTAGCCATATTGGAGAAGTAGTGCCAGAAGGCGAAAAAGTGCCTGTCAAAGCTGAGATAGTGATTTTCCTCTAACACATAATAGAGGACTAGATGGAAATCAGAATAGCAAAGAAAAACTTAGGAGTTATTAGATTATGCAGAGTTAGGGGTTTGTCCTAGGTAGGACTTTAAAGACTGATATCTCAAATAGTTTTCTAAACAAATGTGATACATGCCAGATATAATGTTTCAAAGTTGAAAGATTTTCTAGGAATAATCTATACTAGGAAATTTATATTGGAATAGAGATTGTCTGACAGGTAAGTCTGATCATAATTCATATATGTTTAAATTGAAGGACAGCTCAGATTTATTTTTAGGGAAAGCAAGTAAACTAATCTTGTGCTCTTAAAGAATAGAAACCTCATGCCAGGGTTTTCCTTGTTTTTATGTTCCTTTACTCTAAAAAAGTTCCTTTGTTGATTGTAGAGTCATGATCAAAATGCTTACCTACTTCATATCATTAAATTTTCCTGAAAATCACTAAATAATAAATCACTTGAGCTCTAAATATTACCAGTGGGGAAGTAATCTGTCTTGAGTCAGCTTTACATTGGTTTAAACCAACTGCTCTAAAGAAAACACTTTCTGATTGATGTTTGATTTAAAATGAGAATTTACTGTTAGAGATTTTAGTCTAATCGGATTGGCCATGCTCTTTTAAGGCTCCTTGCGACACAATAACGACTTAATAAGCAATAAATAGAACATTTAAAAGAAATTTCAGTGTTAGGTTAACTTCTAGTAAGTAGTCTAAATGAACATATGCTGAAATTACAATGTTTTGTAAAATGGTGGAGGCTGGAAAAAAGTTGGTGTCTGATATGAAAGATATCCCATTAAAGAACTAAATTTTAACATATCAAATATATTATTTGCTTTTCAAATAAATGCATAGCTCTGTTTGGTATAGTTACTATGTCATTTTTTAAAATTTTGTCATTTATTTTTGTAGATGTATACTGCCAGATGGAAGAAATTAAATTCTCATCCTTAATACTAGGCAAAGAAGTTTCTAAGAGTTGATACTCAACTGCAAGAGTGGTATGGAGTTATAAAAATATAAAAGCCATTATGACTATATCCTAAGAATCATTAATAAGGTATTATCTAATGCAGAAAGTTGTTGCTCTTGACCACCTTTCTCCAATTCCCCAGCCACCCACTGCCCAAACCCTCATTCTAGGTTAACCATAAATCTGATCTTTTTCTGTAACTTGAGTACACATATAAGTGAAATCATATAGTATTTGTTTTTCTCTGATTTATTTCACTTAGCATAATTCCCTCAAGGTCCATTCATATTGTTGCAAAAGGCAGCATTTTCTCATTTTTTTACATCTGAATACTGTTCCATGGTGTGTGTGCTTCTTTATTCATTCATCTGTTGGTGGACAGTTGTTTCCATGTCTTGGCTATTTTAAAACCATGCTGCTGTGAACATGAAGGGGTACGGATATCTATTCAAGTTAATGTTTTCCTTTTCTTTGTATGTACTCCCAGAAGTGGCTCTGTGTGCTGGATCATACAGTAGTTCTATTTTTAATTTTTTGAGGGTCCACCATACTGTTTTCCATAGTGACTCCACCTGTTTATGATCTCATCAGCAGTATACAAGCGTTCTCTCTAATTCACTTTATCACCAACATTTCGTATCATTTGCCTTTTGATGTTGGCCATCCTGCCAGACATGAGGTTTGGTTTTGATTTGCATTTCCCTAAAGATAGTGATGTTTAGCATCTTTTCATGTACCTGTTGACCTTTTCATATATCTTCTTTGAAAAAATGTCTAAGTCTTTTGCCCACTTTTAATGGTATTATTTATCTTTAATCCAATTTAAAAATGTATCATCCAGAGTGAGATATTAGTATACATTTGGTTCATGTTTCCTTATGATTCTCTTTGGATGATCTGTCCATTGTCTATAGAATGGAGTGTTAAAGTCCGCATTATTTCTCCTTTTAGCTCTGCTGGATTTTGCTTTATGTATCTAGGTGGTCTCTTTTTGGGTGAGGCATCTCTTTGAGCCCTGAAGCGGAGTGGAGGGTCACTGGCTGATACAGCTGGGTAGGACAGCTGGCTTGGTTCCCACCCACTCAGGTGAGGCTGTAGGATGGATTCTGCGGTGGATTCTGTGGACTGGTGGGTCCAGTCCCAGTTGGGACTGGATGCTGTAATCAGCATTAAGTGGGGCAGCAGGATGGGATGCAGGGCCTGCACAGCTCGTTGTCTGGGGACCTGAGTCAGGCAGGAACGTCCGCGGAAGGGGCTGGCGACCAGTTTCACTCTGCAGACAGGTTTGGCCATGGGCTGTGCTCTCTTCAGCTGCCGCTGTCAGCGGGGCTGTCGGATGGGTTGTGCGACTTCCCACGTGTTCTGGGAGAGCTCGCTGGTCAGGGGCAGAGGCTGATGGCTGTTTGCAGCACCAAGTGCAGCTATAGATTGGTTTCCCTGCCCAAGTACAGCAGGAGCAGCCGCTTGAAAATCACTAATGCTATGTCTGTGGTCTCACATTGACCCACACCCCAAGTTCCCTGGCCAGTTAGAGCCGCTGGCTTTGCTGTCAGGACAGTCAGCTCTGCCCACCCAGTCCTCCACTCAGGATCTGCTGCGGTGCACAGCTTCTGGGTGTTCTCGCCAGGCCTTCCTGTCTGATGGGGCTGGGGGCCATGCTTCCCAGTGAGTGGGGCTCTGGCTCCCACCTGGGACGGACTGCGAAGGCCCGTTTCAGGCACCTCCCAAGTTCTCCTCAATGGGCTATCTGGTCAGGAGGGGTCAGAAGCCACAATCTGCAGCAGGAAAGGCCGAGGCTTAGCTCTTGTGCCTGGGTGGGGACAGACCAGATTCCAGAGTCAGCAAAGCTCCCTGGTGGGAGGCCCAGTGAGGCAGCGCTGCTCCCTGTCAGACTCCCTGCTCAGACTCCACCGCCGACGCAACCCTGCAGATGAACAGAGCCGATGGTTGAGACTACTGCATGGGCTCCACAGGTACAGTGTTGACTTAACCATGTTAACACAGCTTATGAAGTGACAAATGACAAAACATACTCCACTGGTTAAGGAGACTTGACAGCAGTGTTGTCTAGTTCTTCTGTGAGCTGCTTCCTTCATTGAAGTGGTACCCCGTACCTCTATACAGTTATACTTCTGGGATCAGGCTTGGGGCTGACCCCCTTGTCTTGGTAATATAGTCTCTGGAACCAGTAATAAAAGGTTGTTTTTAAGAAGCTAATGTGATCCAAAATCATATTTAGAACTAGAGCATAGATGTTGTTTCTACTTTATTGGGTATTAGACTAGTATTAGAGAAGTGTCTGGTAAGTTTTAGCATTTTTTAAATAGGAGAAATATGAAATTCCAGGGAAAGGCAACAAAACTATTTTAACAATTCAAAATACATTATCTCTAAGGAAAAGTTAAAAGTGATCATTAAATCTGAACACTAAGCTTAAGCAGAATTACAAAGCTCATCTGTTACAGAAATGTGTCTATTAACCAAAATCCTGATAACAGAGTCAAGAAGGAAGGAAGTGTCAAATATTTGAGGAAACAAAATACTCATCTGGAAATGAAATGAAAGATTGAAGATGATAAGTGTGAAGGAACGTGGTCAGGGCACTTTGAGCAGCTGCAGGCAAGGAAGATGTGAACTGATAACCTCTGGTGATGGCAGAGGTCATTGCTCTGTAGTAAAACCTCCATAGTCTAGAATGGGGAACAATTTTCCTTATATTTGCTTGATAAAAGAAATGGCTGTTTCCTGTTCATCAACACCTAAAGGAACTAAAAGTTGGACTTTATTCCTTTTCATCGCTACATTTTATAATTCTCGAGGACCCGTACCATTTCTTGGGCTGTTTTTATTTGAGATTGCACTGTTCCCTTATTTTTGGAAAGTGTTCCTTGTGTGTCCTTTACTTGGGAACTCCATGGCGGGGGATCCTCAGGCGGTGAGAAACACGGCTTCGTCGGAATCCCGGTCCTTGCCACTGTCCTCGCTCGGCGCACACTCCCCACCACTAGGGGAGCGGCAGCTCAGATCCTCCACCCCCGACTCTTGGTCACTGTTGGCGGACAGGTCTGGGTCTGAACTTTTCAGGTTGTCTTGGGTTAGGATCAGAGCGGAGTCCTCATCGCCCTGGGAGGGGCTCCTGGATGGGAAGGACTTCACATTGCCGCTGTAATCCTGAGGCGTGTTGGCCGTGCTGCCGTCTGCGGTAGAAAACCCTGAGTGCTTGCTGGGCTCATTCTGCTTACTCCTCAGCTCGGTGCGATCTAACTGCACTTTCTGAATTTTTTCCAGCCTCTAGAAAAGAAACCACAGTTTCAGGGAACAGTCATAAATAATGTATCCTTTGTGGTATATGCCTGCCTTTTAGTGTTCATTATCTCCTGGCTGGGTAAGATGTTAAGAAAATGGGATTTAGATGGACTTGGTTTCAAAGCTAGACTTTATGACTCTGCACAAAATAATTAGATTCTGTGAGGCTGGCTCTCTTCCTAATGTAAGGGCACTCTGTAAGGATGGCAGAAAACACAGCCTCAGTAAAGCACCTGGCAAAGAGTAGTCATCCTTCTTTCTGTACCTGTATGGTTTTACGTAATGATTTTCCTCCTGTGAACCAAAAGTTCATTTTTTAAAAATCAGAAATGAAGTTTTTATTATCTAATTTCTAAAATTAAGATAGAAATAGATCACTCTCTTAAAGTATACAGTTCAGTTGTTTTTTTTTTTTAAAGTATATTCACAAGGCTAGGCAACCATTCACCACTATCTCGTTTCCTAATCATCGCCAAAGCAAACTATGGAAGTGAGCCAAACCAGATATCTGAAATGCATCAAGTGTGTAGGTCTGGGCTTTGACGATCTGACTGCTCACCTGGTAGGAAGGATAGGTTACCTTCTGGCTAAAAATATGAAAGAACTTTCCAGGTAGCACAGTGGTAAAGAATCCACCCGCCAATGTAGTAGACACAAAAAGATGCAGGTTCGACCCCTAGGTCGGGAAGATCCCTTGGAGGAAATGCCAACCTGCTCCAGTATTCTTGCCTGGGAAATCCCATGGACAGAGGAGCCTGGCAGACTACAGTCCATGGGGTCGCAAAGAGTTGGATGCAACTGAGGACAAAAATATGAAATGGCTGTGTTGCTGCATTTCACACATCCTGAGTCATGAGAGGCTTTTCCCAGAGCAGCAATAGTCAGCAAATAAGGTGAGCAAGAGCAAGTGTCTTACTTCTTCCAGGGCCTCAAGTTCTTCCTCCAGCTGCTGAGTTTCCTCCTTCACGGCCATGAGGTAATCTGTGACTGACTGTCGAGGCTGCAGTCCCTTCTCAAAGCGATTATACATTCCATTCCAAAACCTGTGGAGGACAGCAGAGCTTCATGAAACCGAGTCACAGTCTGGTACATTCACATTCTTGAGTCTTCCAAGGTATCTTTCAAACCATAGTCCTAATAATAACCAAATGTGAAGTACAGGGTCAGAAAAGCCACTCGCTAAGGTAAGAATTTCTATGTTAATGTTTTCATTGTCTTGAATCAGTCAACTTCTTTTGGGGAGAGTAAATTCATGAAGAATCTACTTGAATAGATGGGACTGAATTAAAAAGCACAAAATACATTTTTCTAAAATAGATTATAGTAGTACATGTTACCATTTTCTTTCTTTTTTTGGCTTAAGAAGATGACTTAGGAAGTCAACTTGGAAAATTAGTGTTTATATCACCATTAGAATCTTTCAGCCACAAAGGAATCTTTTAAATTTGTGGTTTTTTAAATGACAGCCACTAAGATAACTTAGATTTGCAACAAATCCTCCCTTTTTTATACTATACAGTAAAGCATACTGGAAAGCAAATAAAAATACAGGCGTACCTTGTTTTATTGCACTTTGCAGAGACTGCATTTTTATAGTGTGAAGGTCTGTGCCAAGTCTATCAGCACAATTTTTCTAACAGCATTTGCTCACTTTGTGTCTCTGTGTCACATTTTGTTAACTCGGAATATTTCAAGATTTTTCATTTTTTGTGGTTATCAGTGATCTTTGATGTTACTACTAGTACTACTCACTGAAGGCTAGCATTAGGTTAGTATTTTCTTTAAACAATAATGTATTTTTAAATTAAGATATCTAACATTGTTAGATTGTTTTTTAGATATAATACTATTGCACACTTAACTGACTACAGTATAGTGTGAATTGAACTTTTGTATGCACTCAGAAACTAAAAAATTGTGACTCAATTTATTGCAGTGTTCACTATCACGGTGGCCAGGAACCAAACCCACATTATTTCAGAAGTATGCCTGTAAATAGTATTATCATAAGGATACCTGTAGATTTACTCAGAAAAGTACTTTGAGAGCAGGGACTTGGTGTCATTCATTGATTTATACATAGTGCCTAGAACAGTGCTCGAGCCTCAATAATGTATGTGTTGAGTGGCTGCTGCTGCTAAGTCACTTTAGTCTTGTCCGACTCTGTGTGACCCCATAGACAGCAGCCCACCAGGATCCTCTGTCTCTGGGATTCTCCAGGCAAGAATACTGGAGTGGGTTGCCATTTCCTTCTCCGTTGAGTGGCTAGAGCTAACAAATTAGTTGCAATACAGTTGACTGCAGGGTATGTATCTCAACAGCTCTCAAAACTGCTAGTTCACACAAATCATGAGGCATTTTTTCAGTGTGATGGAATTAATATTATTCTATAGAATTCTGGGGAAATAACTGGGTTGAAGTCATTATTGGGTTGGCCAAAAAGTTCGTTTGGGTTTATTCATACAGAACGAACCTCTTGGCCAACCCAGTGAGAATGAAAGCTGTAGAGACAGGAAGCCACTAACCAGTGTACTGAGGTAGGGAAGGAGAAGGAATGTGGTTTCTTGGTGATGTCTGTGTTAATTTTGTCTTTTTCCTGACCTCTGAGTCGCCCTTCTGTATTATACAAGCCCAGAGGAAAAAACCCAAGGATAAAAGAGAGCCTACAGACCTAGTAGCATCTGTTGGGTACCACCAGGCTCTCCCATCCCAGTATAGACAATCTTGAATTTATTTCCACAGGGCAACAGTTCCATTTGATTCAGCAGCAAAAGAAGGTAAGCTGTGTCATAACCACTAACTAAACCTGTGACTCCACATTTAACTTCTCAGGCATTTGGTTTATTCAGTCCTTCTTCCTTCTCTCATCCTTTCACTTTTAAATAAAAGTGAAACTTACATTGTTAGGGTATCATTACTGCAAAACATCAACTTCTAAAGAGAATACCATATTTAGAGGGGAAAGAGAGGGACAGGAGACAGAGGCAAAAATGCCTTGGAGCTCAGTGTTACATACCCTTCAGCCCCCATGTGGTAAACAGTGCCAGAATCTAAAGCACAACCCCACCCAGTGAGGTCCCAGGGGTTTACATACTTGTACATAAAGTTGCACGGCGCCGTGGGGAGATGAAGGATTCCCCAAGTCTGACTGTGATCAGCTCTAAACAGGGGATTCAAGTAGTCAGCCCGATTTTTCCACAGGTAAGCCCATAAAGAATATGTTCTTTCTTGAATTCTGTTATAAAGAAAATAAGCCTGAAAATGACTTACTTTGGTTCTTAGAAATAATAGACATGTTAAAGCTGGAAAGGAATCAAAACTTGTTATATCAGGGTTCCCTGTTCCCTAGCAGGGAAACGAACAGTCTTTTGTGTTTTCATGGTGCAGCAAAAGAGCACTTGTAGGAGTCTCAACTCCCTGCTCTCTGGGGATATCTTGGCCTTAAGATGTCCAACCCCTCTGAGTATAAAATAAAACCGCATGCATTTTGTTGAAATTTTCCCCCAAATAGTCACTGGATTGTTACTGTTTGCTGGGTGCTACTTAAATGCTTCACATGTTTTCTCATTTAATCATCACTGTATTCCTATGACATTTTGCTAATCTGTGACAACGGATCACAAAATACCTAAGAAAACAGGTGAGCTTACAGGATGTACCATTTATCAGGAATTGTATCTACTAGAAAAAGTCATGTTCTTTCCACTCAGGATAAAACTGGAGTCAGTTTTATTTGAACTGATCATTTGCAAAATTAAATCTGATATTATATATACCACATTAATTTTATAAGAATTTCAAAAATGTTCCTTCATTTGCAGTTTTTAAGTCACTTTGCTGTTAAGCTTTTGACTTTTTCAGAAGTCCACATTTCATCTATTTTTTCCCCTCTCAATTAAAGCAGTATAGTAGTCCACCCTTATCCATGGGGTATTTGTTCCAAGACTCCAAGTAGTTGCCTGAAATTATGGATAGTAGTGAACCCTGTATACACTGTGTTTTCTTATACATACATGCCTATCATAAAGTTTCATTTATAAATTAAGCATAATAAGAAAATATGTGAATTGCTAGCATTGCTACTCTTGAACTTTATTATTAAATAAAACGGGTTACTGAAACACAAGCATTGTGATAACTGAGACAGCTACTAAGTAACAGGTGATCCCAGGCAAGATGGAGTGGGAGAGTATAAGATTTTATCATGCTACTCAGAAAGGCCCACAATCTAAAACTTATGAATCATTTTTTTCTGGAATCTTCCATCTAATCTTGGACCACAGTTGGCCTCAGATAACTGAAACTGTGGAAAGTGGAACCATGGATAAGGAGGGACTACTATATTTGCAACTATTATGAGAGTATATCCACCAAAGCTGTGTAACTTTTTCCTTTTCAATGCAAAAATCACTTTCCCTGACTCCCAAGAAGCTTCCTTTCCATATCAGTGCGTGAGGTTTACCTATCTACCTGTGGACATTAGGCAAGAACTAGGCAAAATGGACTTGTGCCTGTCTTTGTCACCTGATGGCCTTAAACCTCTAAAGTGATGTCAGGAAAAAAATCGTTACTCTGTCAGTGAAGATGTGTAACTAAAACAGTCTTCAAAATTGTGAACGACCATCTGAAACTCTCAGTCACAAAATCTTTAGATAAAATTAAACACCAAAACACTTACTTGAGTTCTTGTCTCTCTTTCTGGCTATTACATAGGAAGTTCCCAAACTGGCAGGAATAGATGTGATGTTGAATGTGAATCAAAAACCTCTCATTGAACTCAAAGGCACAGGGAAACTGTTCCATTAACTGCCAGACGCACTCAAGGAACTGGTCAATAACTGGAGAGATTTCTCTGGGATCACCATCTAGGTTGCCGTATCTGTAAAACAAAGTATTAGAGATTTTACAGCAAGGCCCCCACCACCTTGATTAGAAAGCAAAAACAATCATAAAAGCAACCGTAATTCCTAAACAGATCTTATCTTTAAACTGGAATGCAAAAGAAGTGGGGAAAACATAACTTTTTAAATTGTAATGCCAAGAAAAACTTTATATTAAAAAGTCTGGACAGAGAAGGGACATATTTATGTTATAATTACAAAAGAAAAATGTTAGTACTGGAGATAAAATTCCAGGAGTCTTTACAGGGAAAAGCAGCAATCTTTCATTCTGATTTTAAAAGAACATCCAAAACTTGTTCCACTTTAATTAGTAACCCATGGGAGAGTGGAAAGAAATGCCTAAGCCACTTTAGAGTTTCTCACTTCTGCATGGTTTTATAAGGAAGAAAGATAGCTTTAAAAAACTGTGATTCTCCAAGTTTCAAGGGGTATTTCCATTTTTAAAGCAGTGTTAAAACTTGTCAATAATTTATTTCCATGTGACCTCAGATTCCCTCATACCTTTATATCTCCCCTTCTGTTGTTTTCAAGAGTACATCAGAATCTGCTTCCTTATGTTTGTGTTTATTTTTAAACAGCTGCCCAGTCCTTCTACACTGTTAACGTGAATTTTAGAAAGAATCCAGAAGGGTGATTTGGGTGCCATCAAATCAGAATAACAATATAGAACCTCATCTTTCAAGCGATGGATAGTCAACTTGAGGAATAAAAATGAGCAAGGATTGGTTTAGTAGTTTTTCCAAGGGTGGAAACTTCAGAAACTGTCTGGAAACCTTCAAAGGGTTTAGTCCTACTCACCTTTGTTAACTTTATAAAGGGGCTGCCCAATAGGTTCTTTCCTCATAAAACACACACTTAGCCACTTCTATGTTCTTCCTGCCCCAGATCCTCTCTCTCAGAGGTCTTAGGGGCCTAGCAGACAGTAGAACCCCCCCCCCAAACTGAAAATAACAATGTGATCTTAAGGCATCATTGTGCTTTCCTGGAAAAATATAGAAATAGAAATCCAGGAAACCACCACAATAAATGCTAAACTAATGCTAAAAGCAAAAACTACAAAAATAAATATGAGCAGCTCCGTAAATTTAGAATTTTTAGAAAACATTCAACCAATCAAAAATGTGTATCAAAGCCTCTAAATTATCATCAGCATGCTGCCTAAAATATAAATTTTAGCCCCAAAGATGAGGCCATACCAGCTACAACCTGTATTAATAACATTTAGGGATTAAAGACAGCACAGCACCCATCAGGCGTTACTGTCCACACTAACCAAAGAAGGCCAGTAGCTTCTGTTTACTGAAAGCCCTCAAATGGCTAGCAGGCTAGTCCCATACAGGGTTTTCAAAGCCTTGCCATAACCCCAGGGAATAGGGAAAGGCTCCCCTTTTCACAGATGGGAGACCAACACTCAGAGAACACTGATGTCTTCACCCACAGAGTAAATGCCACAGCCTGGATTTGAGGCTTGACCTGTTGGACTCAAAAGCCCAGGCTGCTGGCCTACCCTAGCTCCCCAGAGATGCCTGGTAGAGACCTACCTGTGACACATGCCGTAGGATGAGCCTAACTTAACTCCCAGTGTAGAAGATCAAAGAAACCATTCTACAGGCATTTCACAGTGTGTAGCTTACAGGGAATATTTGCACTTCGAAAAATGGAATAATCTAGTAAATCAAATACATGTGGAAGGAAGAGAGAGCCCATCCATTCTAGGTCAATGAATGAACCAACTTCTCTGTCTAATCTGGAAAAATTTAACATCAGTTAGTTCTGCTCAGTAAATACCAAGAGTTCTCAAGTTAGAACTTCTTTATCTGTGATACAACATATATAACAAACGTTTAACTTTCTGAATAAGATACCCAAGGCAGTTTTGAAAACAGGCTGTTATTCCTCACTCAATTGAGAAATTCAGAAACAGTTTTTTTTTATTCTCAACCTTAAATTCACAATTTAAAATCACAAGATTTTAAAACACTTCTTACCTGTGAGTAAACTTATGACCAAAGGAAATCCAGTCCTTTTCAATTAATACCTATATAAGAAAACATAAATATCATGGAGAGAAGCAAATGAGGGAAAGTAAGAGACCAGACCAATAATTCTGAAGGATTCAAAAGTTCTTGGAGCATAATTCACTAGGTAACCTCCAAATGAATGAACACTATCTACCCATACACAGGTGCACATCGGAGGGCAAAGCTGAAGGTCATCTGTAGGAGAAATAAGCGGAAGTAGATGTGGGAAGATGTACTGCCATCACCCAGAGTGCTCTTGATGAGCACTGTTCATATTGCTTCATGTACCATCTCATTCAAGGGGGTGAGGGGGAGGAGGTGTTACTGTCATTTTACAGAGGGAAAACAAGGAGGTTACTCATCCAAGATCACAGTTAGAAAGTGGTCAGTGCCACCTGGTAACCTCGCTCCAGAAACCATCACAGCTCATCAAGTCCAACTCTCAGTCAATACTCCATGCTGCCTATCAGTATATCAAACACCAACCTCTTTACAAGAGGCTAAGGAATGTTTTCCAGTGATCTTTAATATACTTTAGAAGAATTCTAGAATGAGGAGGGTTTGAAGCATATTGAAAGTTACAGCCCTGCTGTGGAGTCAGAGATGTAACACAAGTTTATACTTAAATTGCCTGGAATTTAAAAAATAATAATATAGGATAATACCATCAATGTCACCAGTGCTGTAAAACGGAGCTCTTCTTAAAAAAAAAAAAAGATTGGTTGAAGTTTTGCCTTGACAACCTATAAATTTAATGGGAAGGAACCAAAAAGAGCCAGTGGTGAAGGATGGGGTAAAGGAGACCGACCCCTCAGCAATGAAGAGCCAAAAATAAATAAACTTTTAAATGTCAGTTGAAAATTAAAAAAAAAAAAGAGGCAGGAACCAGATAAGCTCCTGGCCACTAGGAAGTCCTTGTGGTCATTTTAAGAAAATGGTCCCAGCCTAGCCAGAGCTTCACCCTTCCAGACACCTGTACAAATATCACAGATACCTTGCAATTGAAGCAACACATCAAGTTCTGATGCACACCTAAAAGGTGCTAGATCTAGGAGAGTATGTACTCACAATTTCAGGAAAGAACCCCAAAACTGAAATTTTCAATATTCTCATCCACAGTTGTGAAGGATTATTTGAAATGCAAAAGCAGTAAGTGAAAACACTTTCCTATAGTGTTTTTTTTCCTCCAGATATTTTTTCTGCAAAGTGTTTTCTGCCTCATAGTCCTGTGTTACCTCAAACTTGAAAATATATATCAAACTTGAAACATATATAATAAAAATGATGTAAGAAACTATTTTACAAACTACTGAATGTATATATTTGCCCATTGATTTGAATTGGCTCCCAAATCCCAGAAATTTATCTTCTTATTCCCTTTTACCTTTTCCCCTTTAATTAATCTTGCTGACCTACTAACAGAAAAATAACATTGATGAGGAGGGAAGAAGAGTTGCTAATAGTAGCCAGAAGTCCATTCTGCCCTGGCGGCCGGACTCACCATGAAGCCCTTCAGAGTCCGGTAGTGAGGGTCCAGGAGGAGGCTGGCCACCGAGCACACCTGAGCAGTCCTGTCCCAGCCATCAGAACAGTGAACAAGCACGCTGGCCCCTTCCTCTGAAACTGCCTGAAAAATAGCATTGGCAAAAAGTCACAAAGGAGGGCAATCAACAGGAAAAATCTTCAGCATTAGGTTTAGATTTGTACTCACAGAATCAAGAAAAGATTTCCAGGCGAAAAAGAAAAACCAATACCCAAACCTGTTCCTGCATTTACTGAGTATGCACATACCCATTTAGTTAGGGCAGAGCCAAGGAGCAGTTTGGGCTGATCACCAAAGCATTACTTCCCTTCCCTTATATCCGGAAGCCAGGAGCCCAGCTTCTGAACATCATACAAGCAGGCTTCCTATACGAATGTCTCCTAGCCTACCTTCTGCCCCTTGGGGCCCCACCAGGCTTCCACCTCAAGCCTTTCCAATTGAAATTCTGGAGCTTCTGCTGGCCACAATCATTCTCAAAAAGGAAAAGACAAAAATTATAAACGGAAACTGTGAAGTTAGAGATAATAAGAGCCAAGTAAAAATGCCTGGCACTGAATAAATATTTGTTAAATAATGAATTGTCTAATAAAGGGAAGCATACCATGTCATCAGAAAAGATATGCTTGTCTTCAGGTATAAATCTGAGGGGGATTTATTTAAAAAAAAAAAAACCACTAAACAAAATAGACAATGCACTCAAAAATACCTTGTATGAAAGTTACAGCAAAATCTTCCTCTGGCAGAACGGAATCTACCTGCCAGATTCAGGAACATGATGTTTGCTTATGCCATTGCTGAAAAAGGGGGAGCTGTTTGCTAAGATGGGAGCCTTGAGCCTGGGTCACTCTGGTGACTCACATTTGGATGTACTCTTTCATAGAAAATTCTTTCCTCCATCGTACAGCAGAAACTAACAGAACATTGTAAAGCAATTATATTCCAATTTTTAAAAACATTAATCTGTTAATTTATTGTTAATAATCTATTCTTAACCTTAGAAGAATCTTTTAGGAAATATTACTTCTATGGTGGAGAACATTTATAGTGAAAACTCAATAATTCCTCCCAGTTTACGTCAGTTTCTTTTTTCTCCATTAAATGCAAAGTAAATTTTATGCTGTTATTTTTAATTAATATAGTCCCAATTTTATAAAAATATTTATGTTCATCTTATCTATATACAGAAAGATGTCTACAATAATGTTCGTCCATATTAAGATTTTTCCCTAGGTGGTAGGCTTTGGGATAACTTTTTTTTTGGTGGGGGGATAACTTAAACTTTCATTTTTGTAGTTTTCTTTAGTGTCTGAATTATTTATAATGTTTGATTCATTCATTTTCCAATACTGATTTTTCTTTTTACAGAATGTAAAAGGACAAGAAGTAATTAATTTTAACGTGAATGGTTATTTCCCTTTTTCTTTTCTCTACTTCCTAATTTCTGAAAGCAAATTGACTATTGTCCTTGCTCAAATGAAGATCATAAGGAAATTAAACATCATTAGTAATGTAAAAAAAATTCTTTCCTCCACCCAGAACCAAGCATAATTGAAGACTACTTTCAGATTACTCTGAAAGTATTTTACCAGTTGATTGCCTTGATGATACACTATCAACTGAACATCATCTTATCTTTCATAAAATCCCATCTTCAAAGGGCAGATTTCACAGAGGTCTGCAAAGCCAGCTCCCTGAATCAGGTATTGTCCAGCTTAGGTCGGGGAGTTCATGGGAGGGAACCAGACCTCTATCTGCTATCACAGTGCACTGGCTGCTCTGCGCATAGTCTGTGTTCTCTCCAATCACATACCTTTGCGATGAAGACTCCTGCATCCATGATGGCCTTAATGTGCCTCAACCAGCCAGAGTTCTCCAGTCCCCACAGAAAATCACTCATGGAGGGAGATTTAAGTTCACACACTGCAAGATAAACTGTGTTATAGAAGCAAAAACAGGCAGTCTTTCGATGTACATGTGATCATATTTGCAGGTAGTTTGTTAATGATTCCTTCATTGTACCATTTTCTGGAGGAGTCAAGATAAATGCCCAAGCTTGCTAAATGTCATTCTACTGAACCAGTTCCAAGTAAGCCTTCTCTGTCTTCTTTGTTCACACGGGACATTGCATCTGTTTAGAAGTATTATATTTGTAAAGTTTAAACTCTACTATTCATAAAAATCATTGAATGTTGCCATAGTAAAAGTAAGAGATTTATTCTTCCAGCCAACATATTTAAAGTGGACCACCAAGGAGCACTTGAGTACGAGTGCTCTGGAGGAAAAGACTCAAATAGTGAACTCCAGCACCTTCCCAACTAGAAGTCCATCACCAAGAGCTGTCCTAAAAGTCCTAAGTGGAAATTATCAAACTCCTGCTAGCAATCCTCCCTCAAAGGGAGTAAAGGACATGAACTTAAGTATGAGACTTCTGAATGCCTCTAGAGCATCAAGTTAGGGGTTTTACCTTTGGTTGAAAATGAAGATAATCCAGGATTCCAAAGATACCTGTGTTTTACAAAACTAAGGCAGGTATGTAATCACTAATCACAGGCAGTTTCATCTCAAGAGCTGCTCTTTTAGTTAACATGAAGCATGAAAAAACTTTAGGGCTCGGTGTTCTGACTACAACATAAATATGACATTCCAAAGCTATAAAGCTCTTTTGAGGAATCCTATAAGTTAATCAAGGAAAATTAAATAATGGGCATTGAGTTTGTTTATTTCCTTAGGCTTTGGTTTCTTCATGTTTAAAATAGGGAAAGTGACTAAATTATATCCAAGTGCCCTTCCAGCTCTAAACTCCCAGATTGAAATTTGTTATCTTTAAAAGTATTGTGCGTTTGCAATACATATTAACTGTTAACAACCATTTATCAGATGCCCTTCCCTCAAATATGCCAGATAACAGAAGGTTCACTCATAAGAACCACACACAAAAAGCACAAGTGTAACAGTTAAATTGAGTCACAGATGGCAGCAATGATGAAATAACACCAAGATTCCCAGCAAAAAAAAAAAAAAAACCTTCATAAGAAAACAGTATTATGATTATCTTCAGCCAAGATTCCAAACTCTTCCGTCCAAAAGCCTGCCCTGAGCTAGACACCAAGCAGGAAAAATGGGCTTCCCTATGGTTCAAGGCACTGTCCCTTTGTCTGACACCATGGTGCTGCCCCGTCTCCACCAGCAGCGATTCAGGTTGTTCAAGTAAGATTAACATGATTTGCAGTTTTCCAAAGTTTTTGCACACATGCCTCTTCAATGATTTTCGAGACTATGTACCCTCTCGTGCACCACGGAGCCTCCCAGGTGGGGCTAGTGATAAAGAATCCACCCTCTGATGCAGGAGATGTAAGAGGCACGGGTTTGACCCCTGAGTCAGGAAGATCCCCTGGAGGAGGGCATGGCAACCCACCCCAGTATGCCCGCATGGAGAATCCCATTGACAGAGGAGGCTGGCGGGCTACAGTCCATATGGTCGCAGAGTTGGATAAGACTGAAGGGACTTAGGCACCTTCTCATGCACCGTGGAATAATGCACCATAATAAGCCTGAAGGTGTTGGCCTTTTGCAAGGTGGCAAAGGGGCAGTCGGTTAGGGGAGATGGAAAAGGACGGCTGGCTCACACCTGGGCCGAGGAGCATCTCTAAGACAGGAGCGCGTGCAGAAGTTGGCGCCATAAAGCCACCGCACCCCTGGGAAAACCTTCCCCGTGACGTTGGGGGACTATGTACGCATCTTGAAGACAGACACTGAAAATGCTGCAACTGAAAAATTCGTGCAGCCCTGGTGAGAAATCGAGTCAGGCGGGCGGGGAGCGATCTGACCTCGGGGCTGAGGATGGGGCCGGCGGCAGTACCGCGCGCGCCCTCCGCGTGGCGCACAGACATCCCCACACTCTCTGCGCTGCAGCCCCTCCCGCGGGCGCCTGCCGTTTGGTCCTTCTGTCCAGCCCTGGCCGTGACCCAGAGTGTTCAACTTCATCCTAAAATACACACATTCCACCAAGTATTCTCAGGACCCACTGAGGCCTTTAAATCTTCCACAGATAACGCTGACTGGCAAACGTTCATTTGTTTCACTGAACCAGCTCGACTTTCGGGGTGTTAGGAAAGCGCTCGGGGGGTAGCTGGCATCCGCCTTCATTTCAAAAAGTCCAGGGAGCGGGGGGGATAGCCTGGTGTCCAAACTCTGAAGCTCAGTCCAAGAACAAATGATCCCTTGTGCCTTCTCTTCCCACCAGGTGTGGAAATCACAGCAAGTTTAAAAATAAACATACCGGGCTTTCCAGCTAAGGGAGCGGCCTGTGCCAACGGGCAAGAGGGGATCGGCCAGCTCAGAGAACAAGGCCCTAAAAGACGCCCCGGGAGAGGATGCCCAGGCCGCCCTCACAGAGCTCACGGCCAGGGAGCCAGCTGCTGCTTCCCTCCACACTGAGGACGGATCCCTGTTTAACACGCCTGCTTTTAGTTACATCTAAACTGGGGATGTTCAATAAAACAGCCACCCCGGCTTTCATGCAGTTTTTTTTTCACTGAGAGCGTGCTGGCCCTCAGACGCTGAGGGGTGCTTTTGAGAGCAATCAGCCTGAAAGTGATTAATACTTAAGGTCAGATGGGGTACACTCGAGACTCCAACAGTTAGCGCCTGATTTTTCACATGTAAAACTGGTGGGTTTGTTTGGATAAACTCAGGATAGGCAGAAATACTGACCCGTTCACCCTTGTTGCCAAACCCAAACCAATAATGACAAACCATTTTGCTGAACAAAGTTCATTTCAGTTGACCTCAGAGGCAGGCATCGGCCACAGATCACAGCGAACTGTGACTTACTAACACCCAGTTTAATGTCCAGGTCGAATGAAATCAGTCTTATACAGAACAGGTTAACTATACACACCCCATAAGCATAAAAACAACATTTAAAAAGAAAAGATAGATTATTATGGCACCTGAGGAAATAGGAAATTTATTGGGGATAAAATTAACCTCTGGTGATCTTCCTTTGCTATTTCCTACAAGAAGCTCATTTCTTCCTCCAGAGTGGCTGGGTGGGGACCAGCCCTGTGGAATGGTCTTTCTCGTCTCTAAGATCTAGAATTGTAAAGTAAATGGGCTGCCTCAATTCGGGACTCAGCTGCAGGTGAGGAATGACAAAGACTAAATAGGAAATGTAAGGCAGATGGAAATAGAGAAGTCTAGTTTGGAAGAAGGAAGGGCCCTGAGAGCAGGGAAGCTGGGTGGATATAAGATATTAGTGACAGATGCTGGAGAGATGGCCACGAATCATGTAAGATTAAGATGTTGGCAGCAAATAACAGAAGCGGTGAAAAAAGCAGCATGTGTAGCTAGCTGGGGACATAACGAGTGGAGAATCTTTCCATAAAGCTGCCAGGACCAACACGCTCACTGAGTCTGAAACCACATTGTCACTGGCAAGCAGAGACTGAATTGCCTAATCTCAGTTGCAGCCTTATGGAAAAACTGCTCGCCTACTCCCTAATATGAATCATGTCTATCTTTAGTTTTATGGGAGACACTTTCTTCTACAAGTGTTCCTTTTGTAAATGTTTTAGTTATCAAAAACAACTAGCTGTCAAGATGAACAAAACAGAAATGATAATTTCGAGGGTGAAAATGTTTAATCTGAATTGTCCTGGGGAACATCAAGGTAAAGCATAATTAGGATTAAAAATAGTCATTTGCTCATTAAGTCTGTTTTCTCTTGTCCTTTCCTTTGCTAAAGTCACCCAGAGGCAAAGTCTTTGGCTTACTTGTGCAAACATTATCTTCTCTTCCCACTGTGACTTTTGCCCTACATCAAAAATTACTTTGTATCACTAAATGAAGCATTTTTCTCTGCAATACCCAGCATAAAGAAAATTCTCAGTAACTGTCTGATGTACAGATGAGTGTCAGAGAACAATGCAGCTCCTAGTGATGACGCGTTTACCATAAATAGGTACTGTCCCCCATACAGGGCATGTTCACTCCGTTTTCAGACTGGCAAGTGTGGCTTAAAGACGTTTACTGAGTCATCCCTGGTCACTCAGCCAGGGGGTCCCTGAGCAGGAATCCTGGTCTCAATGCACACCAGAGGGTCGTGCTCTTTCCTCTGCCTCGGTGCTTGTGGTCTCACTGTCTACACCAGGCACCGCCATCCAGCGCTCTCACGGCCACATCATACATCCTCTTACAACACAGAGAGCAAGGGGCACACTCTTGGTGGATTTCTTTCTCCCAAATAACCACGCGTTGGTAACCAGTGGAGCCTGACAGAGCCCGGTTGCTCTAACAGAGCACTTGCTACAAACCTCACTGGGGATGTCTGAGGGACAATGACCAGGTTTTTCAGACACGTCTTACTGGCTGCTTCTCATCTAATCGGCTAGTAATTTCAGGAAATTAATACTGGGGGAAAGTCAGAAGATAGAGAATTGAAAAAAAGATCAACCATTATAGTTTTTTATTAGCTCGTATATGGTAGTACTTCATAGCATAAACTTGTAGGCAATAATACAGAAAATACTTAAAAATGAAAAATTTGAATATAAAAGGTTGAACTCTACCATGTCTTCCAGGATGAATTAGCCATCATCTCATAAAGTAAGGAGGTGAGGGGGAAAAGTATCAGATGAAAAGGACAGCGGGGCTGAGAGCTGCAATGTTAAACCTGAGCAGATATTTAATGGAACCTTGGAGCCAGGTGTGTTGGGGGGCTGCCCCTTCTAGATTTCAGAGCCCCTGAGTCCCCTGGCAGGACCAACAGAGCAGGGGCCATGAGCCCACAGTGCCCACTGCAGTGGTGCCCCTGGGATGCACTCCAAGTCCCCTGCTTTCCATCGTCCCTTCATTCCCAGCAAAGGCTCTGAATAATCGGCCTTCACAGAGAAGCACAGATCAGATGTTTCGGCGGCCAGCTGATTTCACCACAAAATTTTCTCCGTCGTCACTGCCCCCAATTCCAGGGCAAACGACAAAAGCGGTTACCACTTGGGGCCTGCTATAAAGACCCCATTGTTTCCACTGACTCTTACAAACAGCCCCTCACTACAGTAGCATCCCAACTGCTGACTGGGCATCGGGCCTTTGTTCCCGAGCTCTGGTCCGGCTCCCTTCTGACCGCCGTCAGGCTGAGGCTTGTATCTCTGTCAAACAACTTGCTGAGAGAACACCCACCCGGCCCGGCCTGTGGTTTATTAAATTATGTTTGATGAACTTGTGCTGAGTGGACACAGACCATACCACAAGGGCCTGCGCTTCTCTGCCTCTGAAATTCTGCTTACTTCACATCTCTTGAATAAAGGAATTAAGAAAAGCCACCCGTAGGGAAGCAGGGCATGCATGCTAAGTCGCTTCAGTCGTGTCCCACTCTTTGCAACCTCATGGACTATAGCCTGCCAGGCTCCTCTGTCCATGGTGGGGATTCTCCGGGCAAGAATACTGCAAGTGGGTTGCCAGTTCCTTCTCCAATTTAAATATGTAAATAAATTTAACTTTTCAATTTTGAATTTTAAAACTGTAAGTCAAAATGGTCTTTTGAGGTTTTAACTTACATTTCTTTACTTCCAGGAAGAATTAGCCATCATGTCATAAAGTAAGGAGGTGAGGGGGGAAAAGTATCAGATGAAAAGGACAGCGGGGCTGAGACCTGCAACGTTAACTCTGGGCAGAGAGAAATATTTAGTGGGAACCTTGGGGCCAGGTGTGTTCTGTGAAAAAGCACTTTCCATATATAATGGAATATTACTCAGCCATTAAGAAGAATGAAATCATGCCATTTTCAGCAACATGGATGGATCCACAGTATCATACTGAGTGAAGGAAGGAAAGGCTCTGTGAAAAGCACTTCAAACTTATCTCAGTTATAGCTGCTACGTAACTGAGAGGGTTTTTTCACTGGGAGGTGGGAATGCCACAAAACAGTTTGGTGTAAGAACTTAGAAACCAACGTTAACGTTCAAGGGCTTCCCTGGGGACTCAGTGGTAGAGAATCTGCCGGCCAATGCAGGGGACACAGGTTCAATCCCTGATCCGGGAGGTTCCCACATGCTGTGCAGCGACTAAGTCCGTGCACCTCCACTAAGGACCCTGTGCTCCAGAGCCCGGGAACCGCGACCGCCGAAGCCTGCACGTCCTAGGGCCCGCGCTCCGCGGCGAGAGAAGCCACCGCAGTGAAACTGGACGGCAGCCTCCGCTCTCTGAAACTAGGGAAGCGCCCGCACAGCAGCAGAGACCCAGTGCAGCCAAACAAATAGAACATCCGATCAATGAGTTCTGTACAAGGACCCACACCAGACGTGAACTTGGTCCTGGAGTTCAGTTTCTGATGAAATCTCCTGCCACTCTTGCTCACAGACAGGGATTTTACAGGGGCAGAACACAAAACAATGTTTCACTTTTGTTATTCAGAATCTGTTCTGGTAATATCAGTAACCCTGAGAAGAAGATAATCATCAAGGAAATGCATTCTTCCCCTTTCTACCAAGTGACCAGCAGTACAAACCTCCCAGTCTCTTTGATGCCACGACAACTATTGGAAGAAAAAGCCTCAAAAGGTGGGTCTGATTGCATCACTTCATCAGCTGAAGCCTCCACGAGTGGTTTATAATTTACTTGGAGAAAACAGATAGCTGGACATCGGTCCCCTGAAAGGCATCCAGAGAGCTGTCCTCACTTACGCGGCCGCTGCAGAGCCGGGAAAGAGGTGCAGAAGAACCATGGTCCCCAGAGAAACACGGGCCGCCCTCCCTCTGCAACTCCATCAGTTTACCGGGCCTCGAGAAACAGCAAGTCAGACCACAGGTCTGAGGGCAGGAGACAAGTTCCTCATAAGAAACCAAGTAAATGCTCCTTTTAAAACAAAAGCCAGACTGCCATGTGACAAGCACTCTCGGGAGTCACCTTACACATATAAGAAAATGCGTGCGTGCTAAGTCGTTTCAGTCATGTCTGACTCTGCAACCCCGCAACTCTTCATGTCTCCTGCATTGGCAGGCGGGTTCTTTACCACTAGCACCACCTGGGAAGCCCTGAAGAAGATACATTTTTTCTTTTGAGAATATACAGCAGAAAATATATATTCTCAAAAGTCAGCTTATGAAATTACTAAAAAGCATATGTTTTTAAAGATTCTGATCATGAACACTCTTCATACTAAAATCAGACTACTCTATCAATAATAGTACCGAGCTGGTCCAATTTGCCAACTTCTAAAAAGCACAGCTTATAAGCAGGGACAGGCATACCACCCACAAATATCTCCAGAAGTTGATGAAGCATGAAGCCCAGAGCATGCTCCCGTCACCTGCTGCTATTTAGTCGCCAAGTCATGTCTGACTCTTTGTGACGCCATGGACTGTAGCCCACCAGGCTCCTCTGTCCATGGGACTTCCCAGGCAAGAATACTGGAGTGGGTTGCCATGCCCTCCTCCAGGGGATCTTCCTGATCCAGGGATCAAACCCACATCTCCCGCACTGCAGGCAGTTCTTGACCATCTAAACCCCCCGGGAAACCCTCCTGTCACCTGAAACAACAAAATTCACGTGGAGGAGAGATGGAGATAGCTCTGGGGTTATGATTATTCTACAGATGCAAAGTGAAGGTGACTCAGTTGTAACCAGCTCTTTGTGACCCCGTGGACTATACAGTCCATGGAATTCCCTAGACCAGAATACTGGAGTGGGTAGCCATTCCCTTCTCCAGGGGATCTTCCCAACCCAGGGATTGAACCCAGATCCCCTGCATTGCATGTGGATTCATTACCAGCTGAGCCACCAGGGAAGCCCTGGTTTTTTACTAATGCAAAAAGAGGGTTTTTCGTAACCATTCAAAGGTTCCATTTTAAACTATTTGCAACCAGGGGCATCAAACTGTGGACTCCTAGAACCATCAGGGCTAGATGGGTCCACAGAAATTATTAGTCCAATAGTTTCATTTTACAGCAGGTAACAAAGCCTCAAAGAACGTACATGATGCATTTAAAGCTTCATAATGACAGAGATGACCCCAGGATCCCAGGAAGGACAATGGAAATCAGGCTTGTCTGTGACACTCAAGTTCCTCCAGCCTCACCACTAGGTTCCCACTACATCCTGCTCTCACTAAGCAGGGAAATTAAGCAGAGAACTGAGAGCACCTGGGTATTCGGAGAAAAAGGTGATTCAGCATTTCCTTTGTCCCTTTTCACTCCAGGCCCCGTATTTCCCTTCAGAGAGGACCGCCCACCTCTTTCCCTCACAGGCATCATGCTCCCCAGGGCTTCACCCCCAGACGTGGGAGGAGCACAGCATTTACAGCCCCTCCTGGTCCCCAGGCGGGCTTCTCAGGTGGCTCAGTGGTGAGGAACCCGCCTGCAACGCAGGAGGCACAGGAGACGCGGGCTCGATCCCTGGGTCGGGAAGATCCCCTGGAGGAGGGCATGGCAGCCCACTCCAGTGTTCCTGCCTGGAGAAGAATCTCATGGACAGAGGAGCCTGGTGGGCTACAGTCCATGGGGTCGCAGAGAGTCAGACACGTACAAAGCGAATGAACACTCACACACACTGGTCCCCAGGCACAAAGCTGTGGGTTCTGCACCCTCCCCTTTCTCTTCAGTTCCCCCAAGAGCTAGAAGTGGTGGACACAGTGACAGACTCCCCCTTGGGCCTTGACGCTCACAAGGGCATAAGCAGTCAATGCAGACGGTCTTGCTTGAAATACATGATTTCTGGCAATGAGTTCACGGCTGGTGCAGCCACGCGAATAACTGCTCTGCACCGCACCCCCCAGCCCTGTGACCTCCCCTCCCCCTGAGTCTGGAAGCCCGTGTGCACGCGTCTCCTGGTGCTCGCTGCTGGGGGCGGGGGCAGGTGGAGGGGTTCCGCTGCAGCGGCTGCTATTGATGGAAAGGACGACCACCACCCTCAACGTCCTTCTAATGGCTGCTCAAGCACTGGGATTCAGTTTATGAAACTCACGTCCATACACAAACAGTTGACGATTGCTTTCAAGGCAGGATTGCTTTATCTCCACATGGTCTTGAATGTGGGCTAAACTAGTACGAGGGAGACAGAAAATACATCCCTGCGCATGCTTCTCTCTGGTGTACCACGGGAGAGAAGCTGACAGCTAATGGCCACGTGACAAAACCACTCCACCACGACACCAACAATAAGAGAATGGCTGTTACATGTGTAGAGTCCCTGAATTTTTAAACTCTTCCCAACTGATCCCACCCCGGCGAGCATCATGGTAAAGAACAATTTTCACATCAACAGACTCTTATTCCACTCTGGCATCAAAACATTTAACTGCATTTTTTTCAGTGCTGTGCATAAGGAAATGGTTTACCTTCCAGCATTTTCTGCAGACTGCTCCTCATGACATGGATGTTCTCTATCCCGATAAACTGAAACTTGATATTGGAATAATTGTCTTCGTTCTCATAGCCTTTCCCTGCAGCACGATTTGCCATCGCATTAAGCTGCAGTGGGCAGCAAAACAGAACAGTCACCAAGGACATTCATGGACAATCACAGCACGTCACGGCTATCCGTAAGAACATTCAACACGGGTGCAGAAACATGCGTTCGATCCCAGGACCACTGTGCTGGGCTGGGTGTCTACGGACACCTGGGCTGAGCCTACATTCAACAACGTCTGTTTGTCGATGAGGGAACATTTTCTGAGCTGGGAAGCATCCTAGAGATAAGCCCATCTGGAGAGGCCTTCTGCAGCCCCCAGGGTGGGATTCCGTAGAGCCAAGCTGTCCCGATTTAACACCAAATGTGACAGCCTTGGCTGGCAGAAGAGCACCACCAGCAGATACAGTTGGCAACATAGAGCTCTTAAGTGAAATGATTATATCTTCCAGTATTAGAAGCCAAAAAACACATCAGTGTAGAGGAAGGGCGATGTCATTCTGATTTGCCTAGGGGAATCTCGCGGATACCCAACTCAACCTTGAGGGAGAGAAAGGCCCAGTGGGTGCTACGTCTCCGGAGACACTTCCTCCAAGTCACCCTATTTCAATCTCCCAAGAGGGCTTTTTAAAATCACACTCATTACCCACAACTTCATGCGTAAGAAGTGGCAGCTCTTAATGCAAACTGGGTTCAACGGTAATGGACTTTGAAGAAATTCATGATGTAAACATCTGCCGTATTCCTGTCTAACTAAGGTCAAGAAGGGGACAAGTCCTGCCTTAGCTGAGAAAGACACATTTCTAGAATGAATGCATTATTGCTAACACTTCATTCTTTTGAGTCAACTAAGCGGGCCATCACATCCTAGACATCCATATTTGCTGACCATTCTCTCCCTCTGCCCACAAAGGCCAGGAGGGCTAAAGCCCAGGCAGAGAACTTGGCCCCAGAAAAGTATCAGTTTTTAGGACCACAATGCAGTATTGGGAGGATATTAATACTTTCCAAAAATCAAAGTTTATAAAACCAAGTTAAGTTAAAAACACAGATAGCCTTTGACCCAGATCTCCTATTTGTGAGAATCTGACACTATGTACAATACCAGCACACAAAGATGGATGTCCAAAAGTGTTTGCAACCTTTTAAAAAAAATTGATATTAAAAAACTGAAAGCCTATGAATATCTCCATAGGGCAATGACTGGACAAATTATGGTATATTCATACCCTGGACTACTAATAGGATCAAGGGATACAGAGACAATGATAGAGACAGAAATAGAGACATATGGGCATCCCAGGTGGCGCTAGCAGTAAAGAATCCACCTACCGATGCAGGAGACACAAGAGACTCAGGTTCAATCCCTGGGTTTGAAGATCCCCTGGAAGAGGAAATGAAAACCCGCACCAGTGTTCTTGGCTGCAGAATCCCATGGACAGAGGAACGTGGCGGGCTACAGTCCATGGGGTCGCAAGGAGTCAGACATGGCTAAGTGACTGAGCGGGCACACATAGAGATGTAGAGATATTGGGGGGAGGGAGAGGAGAGAGAGAAAAGAGGGGAGGTGAAGGAGGGAAGACTGGGAGTGTCACATGACACGTGAAGTGAGAACAGTAAGCTCCAGAATAGCATTCATACAAGTATCCCATTTTTTGTAAAAGAAACCAAGCTACAGATGTGTGGTTATGTTTATGCATGCTGAACCAAGCAGGATACAGATGAATAGAAGGCTACACTGATTTAGCACCATCTCAGCAGAAAGACAGAGGTGTCACGTGGCTGGGGCGCCCATCAATGCCACTGTGCATGCTCCTCTGGTCTTTGTTACAAACCAGACATGCTAAGTTTATAAATTAAATAACAGAAATAAAATGTATGAGAACTGAAAACTAAAACAGCAGAGGCAAGTCCCTGCCACCAAGGGCTGGCAGGCTCCTCACTCTGCTTCTCTGTGACTCATCTCACGAGACATCAGCTGGGGCACGACTTGCCTGGCCGTGTCGTTTCCAATTTACAAAAAGAGCATCCCTTTTCTCCCAGGCATGCTATGAGAATAAAGGGTTTAGTCTTACTTAAGAAAAAATAAATAAAAGTAATATTAAGTGATATTATTTTAAAGACAACTTATATTCATGCCTTAAATTTTTTTTATTTTTTTAATTGAAGGATAATTGCTTTATAGAATTTTGTGGTTTTCTGTCATACATCAACATATTAGGTTATTTTAAAATATCTTAAGGGGAAAACTTTTCTAAAATTACCTAAAGACGTTTTGCTTTTGAAATTGTGCTATTATAAATGGACTGCAAGGAGATCAAACCAGTCAGTCCTAAAGGAAATCAGTCTGAATAGTCATTGGAAGGACTGATGCTGAAGCTGAAGCTCCAGTACTCTGGCCACCTGATGTGAACAGCCGACTCATTAGAAAAGACCCTGATACTGGGAAAGGTTTAAGACAGGAGGAGAAGGCGATGACAGAGGTCGAGATGGTTGGATGGCATCACCAACTCAATGGACATGAGTTTGAACAAGCTCCAGGAGATGGTGAAGGACAGGGAAGTCTGGCAGCCCATGGGGTCGCAAAGAGTCAGACACGACTGAGTGAACAATTATAAAAATACCACTGCTCTGTATAATTATTTTCCAAAGTTGCTGGCTTATTCTTTACCACAAGCTTCATAAATAAAGTGGTTAATAGGATACTAGGCAGTATCATATAGCATATATAATAGCATATCCTATTAGGCTACATGAACCTTTTGTTTATTCTCACCTTGAATAATTCAGTCTGCTCATCACATACCATAGAGATAACTTTTTAAACAGTGCAGTGAGTAAAAAACAAAATACTATTATTTTTAACCTATAATAAAGACCCTGTGTTCACATGTTTAATAGGTGATTGCCTATGACCCGGGAGAATTTATCGATGGTCTTCTTTCAAGAGCAAGGGAAGGACACAGCAGGGTCCCCTGAAAGTCAATGGTGCTTCTCACAATGAACAGAAGGTGGCGATATTTAATCTATCATCCAGAGTACTTGCTCAAGGTTTCCACACATCTTACAGAACCTCTCATGATAATGGGGCACAAGCTGACCCCTCAAAGCAGGAAACACAGCTGTATAATTAATAAAAAGTCAGACACTATCTTGGACCTATATGCATATTTATTCAGAGAGAGTATCTCATATTACAAAAAAAAAAGTCTAATCTGGTGCCCTGTCCTTTAGGGTGAGAATTCCATTTCACAACCAAAGAAACAGCTATTCATTTCAGCTCCTAAAACTTTTCAAATAGTGGGGGAAACCCTCAAAATGTCACATCCTCTATGTTTCTAATTATATAATGTTCTTGAAAAAAATGTATAGACGTGGAGAACCGATGCGTGGTTATTTGTGATGTAACTGTTCTGTGGAAGAAAAAAACAAAGGTCAACCTAGACAGCATATTGAAAAGCAGAGACATTACTTTGCTAACAAAGGTCCATCTAGTCAAGGCTACGGTTTTTCCAGTAGTCATGCATGAGTGTGAGAATTGGAACATAAAGAAAGCTGAGTGCCAAAATATTGATGTTTTTGAACTGTGGTGTTCGAAAAGACTCTTGAGAGTCCCTTGGACTGTAAGGAGATCAAGCCAGTCAATCCTAAAGGAAATCAGTCCTGAATATTCACTGGAAGGACTGATGCTGAAGCTGAAGCTCCATTACTTTGGCCACCTGATGGGAATAACTGACTCAAGTGAAAAAGACCCTGATGGTGGGAAAGATTGAAGGCGGAGGAGAAGGGGACAACAGAGGATGAGACAGTTGGATGGCATCACCAACTCTTTGGACATGAGTTTGAACAAGCTCTGGGAGTTGGTGATGGACAGGGAAGTCTGGCATGCTGGTGCCAGATGACTGCTGGTAGCCGGCAGGACTCCAGATGGAGCTGAGAGCCCGGTAGAGGTGGTGGCAGGCATTAGAATCTGGAGCAGCCACATGTGGCCTAGGGCATCAGGGGTAATGTTTCATGATAGAAGGAAGACTTGAGATGGTCTTTAATGATGAGGAAAGATGGAAAGAAAGGGGGAGGGCATCCCACATGGAGCGCCAAGGAAGAGAAGAGAGGGGAGCAAGTGGGTATCAGTGAGCCAGCCACTGCGAGCACAGAGGAAGTTCCAGTCTGGTGGAGGCAGCGAGAGAGGAGGCTGGGAGGTTTTAGGGTTCCCGACACACAAGCTGGGCTTCTCTGGTGGCTCAGATGGTGAAGAATCTGCCTGCAATGCAGGAGGCCTATGTTCGATTCCTGGGTTGGGAAGAGCCCCTGGAGGAGGGAATGGCAACTCGTTCAGTATTCTTGCCTGGAGAATTCCAGAGACAGAGGAGGAGCCTGGTGGGCTACAGTCCATGGCTTCAAAAAGAGCTGGATATGACTGAGCAACTCACACACACACCCCCAAGCTGATAGATGAAGAAGTTCATGACGAATTGATGAACTTCATTCACATCAGCAGAGGGCTACTGAAAGCCTCTGAGCAGGCTTAATTGGAAAATTAGATTTAGCATCCATGTCAGAGAAGATCCACTGGAGTGGGCAGAGGACGTGATCTCCACAAGGGAGCTGGCTCACCTCATTTACAACCTATGCCTATTTACGGCCTAGAACCCTGTGCCTCGGGCTGGCACAGGGCAGGCACTCTGTGAAGACTTACTGATGGGCTGACTGACCAAAGAAATGACTGGGTGAGGCTGAGAGGTGAACAGCCCAAGAATGTAAAAAAAAAAAAAAAAAAAAAAACAGAATCAGATTCCTTCCCTCCAATCTTAAATCATCACTCAAACACATCGAAACCATGGAAACTCAGGCAACGATGATGATCTTCGTATCAAGTTAAAGGTCAGCCTGGCGGTCACCGTCTCGGGCTTGAAGTCTAATGTTACAGCCGAGCACATGCTGTACCTGAATGACAGGACCTGCTCTGATGGATGGGAAATGAGCACAGAAGGTGACCCCGGCAGGAGGCCCGGGCCACGCTCTAGCCTGCAGCATCAATTAATGGTCCGTCTATCTTCATCTGTATCCGGTGCCATGAAGAATCTGAACTTGCTGATACAACCAGAAAAGAAGACATGAGTTTATTTCTTGCAGAGTCTACAACTCTGCTAATCAAAATCCTTCTTCTCTACCCCCAAGGGAAGAATTAATAGCTTTCGGATTACAATCACCATTCAGCTCAATTTACAATCCCAACCCCGTATATGATGCAAAATTATCTCTTTCCCTCCTTATAGGCTATTTGAACTGGTAAAGGGTTCTTTCTCCTTTTCCTCTTTCTTCTAGGCTCTGTCTTTACATCGGGGATGGGGGAGGTAGAAAGTCAAAGTGTGAGTCACTCAGTCGTGTCAGACTCTGCGGCCCCACAGACTGTAGCCCACCAGGCTCCTCTGTCCACAGGATTCTCCAGGCAAGAAGACTGGAGTGGGTTGCCATGCCCTCCTGCAGGGGACCTTCCCGATCCAGGGATTGAACCTGCGTCTCCTGCATTGTGGGCGGATTCTTCACCATCTGAGCCACCAGGGCGTGGGGTGGTAGAGAGGGTTATAAAAAGGGTAAACATCTCTTCGTAAAGCAGGAGAAGGCTGCTGTTTTATCTCTGCCGGTTGTCACTGCTTTTCTGGTTAACACCTGACCAGAACTGCTCTGACTTAAGTGTCCAAATCCCAGGGCGGGTCTGTGGGCTCTTGGTGGGTGCGGATCGTCAGAGCTCGCTCACGTGGGGGACCCACCTTGGCTTGAGCCTATCCCAGGGCCCCGGCTTCCTTCCCTAGCATGTACCCCGCAGTCCCTGCAGCCAGGAACTTCCGAGGGCGGAGGGGGGACTGGACCCCCGCAGGCCGGCTCGTGTACAACTTCCCTCCTCGGCATCCACTGGACCCACGGCCCGCCCTCCACCCTTGGCCTGCCAAAGAGAGGCACGTAACCGCCCCCCTTGCCCTTGCCACAGGGGCAAGTCAGGGACTCAGCCTCCGTAGATGTGACCGCTCCGCGGCCCCTCTGTCATGCACCCCCATCTTTACCCCAGATCTTCCCAGACTCCCCCCTCACGGGGTGGAAACCACCTCATCATTGATTCCAGAGGGACAGAGAAGCTTCCCGCGTGCCCTCCTGTTACACAGCTAAGGAAGCACTCACACGGTGACGTCACAGGCCACCGAGCCACGGCGCTGCCCTTGGAGAAGCAGCCAGGACTGGGGCAGGTGTTAGCCGAGCGGGTACCTGGCCTGCCCTGCCTCTTCGCCCTACTGCCCTCCCAGGTGCCCGCGTCGGGGCCCAGCTCCCGGGCCTGTGGGCACCTCTTGCCCCAGCTGAGCACATACGACCCAGCTGGGTCTGCAGCTCTGAGTTCCCCGCCTCACTGCAACCATGTACAAACAGGACGACTCCCCCCACCCCCCCGGAGCCTGACCTGAGGCTCCCCTGAAGATCGAGATAAGCCTAGATGTGAACCCGAGCTCTGCCCTGAGTGGTTGTGACCTTGGGTGAATGCCTGAACCTCCCTGGATCTGAGACTTTATCCATAAAAAAGAAAAATACCGCTCCTTATTCGCAGGAGTATTGTTAAGAGTCAAATGGGAAAGTGCCTGGCATTTTTACAAGCTCAGCAAAATCCTAGAACAAAGTAGTCATGAGCGAGGTTGAGATAAAAGGAGTTTGATCTCATTTTAAAGATTCAGCAACTATTGGGACTTCCCTGGTGGTCCAGTGGTTAATACTCTGCACTTTCGATACAGGGGACTCAGGTTCAATTCCTGGTCGGGGAATTAAAATCCCACATGCTGCGCAGTGTGGCCAAAAGATAAAAAAATAACAATAAATAAAATTCAACAACTATGGCATCAACACGACCTCCTGTCTTCTTAATGCACTAAATTCTCACAGTAACACATGACCTTGAGGGGATGACTTTTTCTTAATAGATACTAAGTTGAGCTAAGGTCCTCATGGCCTTTGCCTCCCCTTGATTCTAATACCAACCAACAACTCAGGCAGCGTCTGAGGTGAGCCCTGCTCCAAGGACACGAACGACTTCTGACCTTTCTCTATTTCATTTAAACCTGCAAGCGAACCTGGCGAGGGCCCATTTGCCATGCCCACTGCCCACAGCAAACATGGACCCGGTCTCCTGGCTACTGAGAAACAAAAATCAACAGACATGATCTTTAAAAGAACGAACGCTCTAAGCAAACAGTTTAAAACTCCCATGAAGGTGTGTGTGCTCCTGGGCAAATAGGAAGACGGCATGACTTGTATGGGACACCAACTTTCTTTAATGGATCAGCCTCCAACTTCTTATCGCCGAGAGCAAACACACTGAGTGCTAAATATACCCTTCAAATCAAATCCTTTGGATTAATTTCTTTTAAATCGGGACTACGCCTGGCTCAACAGCTGCCACATTGCCCAGAAGGTTTACATAACATAGTACACACTTGGATCGTTGGCCCTTAAATCAGCAGCCAAATCTGTTTGCCTCTATTTAAATCTGCGAAAACGGGATCGGAGAAGGGCAACCTAATTCACTTTAAAGCCCCTGTCTTTCCATCCCTTTATTATTATTGCTATTATTTGGCCAAGCCGTGTGCGGGATCTTAGTTCCTCAAAGTGAAAGTTGCTCAATCATGTCTGACGCTTTGCCAGCCCCACGGACTGCAGCACAACAGGCTCCTCTGTCCATGGAATTCTCCAGGCAAGAATACTAGAGAAGGTAGCTGTTCCCTTCTCCAGAGAATCTTCCTAACCAGGGATCAAACCCATGCCCCCTGCAATGGAAGCACAGAGTTCTAACCAATGACTGCCAGGGAAGTCCCCATCCTTTTCTGATTTTGTCTTTAGCATGTGTCTCTAAAATAGGCATTTGTGCAGTTGTCTCTGACTTCAGAAATTCAGAGCAGCTCCACTAACCTGACACAAGAGGCAGAATGAAGACGAGGGAAAGTCAAGGTGAGAAGGATGATGAAGCAGAGAGAAAAACACATTGAAAGAGAGCTGCTGTAAAAGAGAGAGACTTTCCAGCATCTTTCGAGTAACAAATCCTCAAGCAGAGAAGCTATTTCTCCCGTGGTCCGAAGCCTCTTCCCTGTTGTGCTTTGAGGATTTTTCTAAAAGGAAGGGAATCCATTACCTGTCATCTACTAGAATGTGATCCGGCTGGAATCTGGTTTGTCCTTCATCTGCGTGGTTGGTCTGCCCTACCGGCATCTAAGAGGAGCTCTTCCTCACCACCCCGCCCCGGCCCCACGGCCACCTGCCTGTTAGACCATCCGGGACTGTTCTGAGGTCAGTGATGGAAGACATCTAGCTACATGATCGAAACCATGCATCACAGTATTTGGTGGCATGGGGCTCAGAGAAGCAGCAAAATTGCCAGGGTCTGGGTCAACCACACAATGAGTAGTATCCAATTTCCTTGATTTCTCTTATCGGCTGTGAGTACAGACCCATGTCTGCAATTACCCACTCCATGGTAACTGATGTTAAACATTTTGAAGCCTTTGTGTTCTTTCAACCTTTTTATGATTAAAATTTTTTTCACACTATAATTTACAAAATAAAAGTTTGTTAAAATCCTCCTCTCACCCCATGGGGGGGGGGGGAACACTGTTAACAGTTTAATATATATACCCTTAAACTTTTTTCAGTGCATAGAATAATGTATAATTTTTATAATATAATTACTATTACCTACATGGGATCATGTTATAGATTTCTGTAGCTCACTTTTGCTATTTTGCAGTACATCTCGGACACTGTTCTGCACCCACATGGAGAAAGAACATGGACCTTTCTCTCTTATCACTCATAGATCCAGGTATATTTTATTCATAACTGGCAAGAAATTCCAATGCCAAATGTGTTGAATCAGTGGCCATATCGCTCTATCACCTCATTTTATCCTATATATTCCACGCCCCTCTTCTCCTTGGAATTCTACTAGGTGAGTGTTTATCCTTCCAAATCTTTTTCTGTTTTAACTGACCTTTTTTTACCTACCTATAGTTCACTTTTTTCCATAGACACAGTTAATTACATATTAATTTATAACTTTTTTCTTTTAAACTTAACATTCCATTTTGGAAATCCTGCCATGTCATAAACATAGTGGAATTAACTACAAGCTGAATTTGCAAGAGAAGAGGTGACCATCCCACAAACACTGAACTGCGGGGATTCCACAGTGAATTTCATATTGTTAGAGAAGAAAAGGTCCTTTTGTGAACAAACCAAAGAATAACCTGGCATGTTTAGGAGAGCGATCTCCAGTGTCACACCACACTTTTGTCGTGTGCACCAAGTACCGAGCACAAGGCTTGGAGCCAGGAAAGCTCGGGGCCCCGAGAAGCAGGCAGGCAGGGCAGCCGCTAGGCAAAGGGAAACGGCCCCCTGCAGACAGTGCTCCCCGGGCAGGCGAAGCCTCATCTCTTCTCCATGAGTCTGAGCTGCAAAGACATGCATCGGCGTGGCGACGCTCACCTTGGGCCGAGTGTCCACGACGTAAATGAAGTCGCTTCCCGGGTTGGCCTTCCTGATGGCCTGCAGCATCTGCTCATCCTCCAGGCAGCGGGCGCTGAAGCCGGACAGAGGCTGGCTGCTCCGGCAGATGGAGGCCTGTGGGGAGAGGCCGCGGCAGCATGGCAGCATCAGGTCGACTGCACCCCCCCCGAGACCCTCAGGACCATCACCGCAACAAAGGCCACTCACCCCCACCCCCTGGTTTACTTACACTACCGGCTTGTGAAAGTATCAATGCTTTCAGGAAATTGAAGTTGGCATCTTTCTAACTCAAAAAACCATTACATGGGTAAGCAGTGCAAAAAGCTTCTCTGAGTAACAGCTAGGATGCATAAGCATGGGCTTCCCAGGTGGTACTAGTGGTTTAAAAAAAAAAAAAACCTGCCTGTCAGTGCAGGGGACATAAGAGACCTGGGTTCAATCCCTGAGTCGGGAAGATTCCCTGGAGAAGGAAATGGCAATCCACTCCAGTATTCTTGCCTGGAAAATTCCACAGAGGAGCCTGGCGGGCTACAGTCCCTGAGGTCACAGAGAGTTGGACATGATTGAGCATGCACACATGCAAGGCTGTTTAGGTAGGATCCAAATGATGAAACATAAAACCATCTAAATAGTCTACTCTGCTTGACACCACCTCATCTTCCTGCGAAAGTAGAAATATAAAGTAACTCTTCTCCTAAAAATTGTAAAAGTTACTCTTTAGTGTTTCCAGCATTTACTAGCTCACTTAGAAACATCACAAAACCCTCAAACCGATTCTCATCCTAGACAGGGGAGTGTTCACAGTGACAGAGCCCGGGCTGCTGCCGATGTCTATGGACAGGAGGCTCAGGCCTGGGCTGATGTAGGTGGCTTAGAAGCAAGGGCCTCCTTGGGAACCGACCTGTGTGCTGTTCTGCAATTTCCCTGTTCGGTGATTCCAACAGAGTACCCTGAACTGTGGCTCAGGGCTTCCCTGGTAGCTCAGCTGGTAAAGAATCTGCTTCCAATGAGGGAGACCTGGGTTCGATCCCTGGGTTGGGACGATCCCCTGGAGAAGGGAAAGGCTACCCACTCCAGTATTCTGGCCTACAGAATTCCATGGACTGTATAGTCCATGGGGTCGCAAAGAGTTGGACACAGCTGAGCGACTTTCACTTTTCGCCCTTAATTGTGGGACGAAGTACACAATAGCATAACCATCCCTCTGAGTTAGTAATGGGTGAGTATAGCCACAACCTCACAGCTGTGAAACTTATACTTTTGTGGCCAAGTACTTCCTATGAATTTAGATTTTATTTTAACACTTAGATTGAAGTCAAATCACCAAATACAATCTAGGCATGACTCTTTCGAAGAATCTGCACTGAGCCTGGGTACCCACGTGTACGAGGGCGGAGGTGCCCCCTGGCTCAGGGAAGGGGGCAGTGCTTAAGAGGGAACCCTCCCCTGGAAAGAGCCACGACACAGCCCGTTCCGGCGCCCGCATGCCGGACTCCTTCCTGGAAGGCACCCCGGCTCTGAGTCCAAGTGCAGCTTAACTGTCCTTTAGGCTGATCCCAGGGCTACTCAGCCGGGCTTGGGTTTCTCCAGGGAAAGGTGAGCCCTGAGACTCCTCACTGGAGAAGGCAGGATATTTCTTACTAACTATATGATCCTCAGGTGGCGCTAGTGATAAAGAACCGGCCTGCCAATTTAGGAGACATAAGAGACATGGGTTCGATCCCTGGGTTGGGAAGATCCCCTGGAGAAGGGCACAGCAACCCACTCCTGTATTCTGGCCTGGAGAATCCCATGGACAGAGGAGCCTGGTGGGCTACAGTCCATGGGGTTGCAAAGGGTCCAATACAACAGGCATCTCAAGCGTGTGAGTGCACGTGTACACACACACACACACACACACACACACACGATCCTCCAGCTGAGAACCTGCTGGCAGGACGGAGAATTGCAGACATTTCTAACAACTGCTAACAGCAACCGTCTGAGGGTTCCAGTACATTCTGTAACACAGCAGCAATTACTGAGGGGCTCCAGGAACCCTGGGCCTACAGCCAGAATTCAGGAGGGGGGTGCCTGCAGAGTGGGAAGCAAGGCAAAGGGCTTGAGTTGCTGGCAACAGATGTCCAACCACAGGGTGGAGGAGGAAGGGCCCGGGGTGTCTGACCATGGATGGGCAGCCAGCCAGCAAGAGGAGAGCCAGGGGCTAGGCGTGTGACAGCAGGGGCTAGGCATGTGACGGCAGGGACCGGGGCGGGGGGTATGGGGGGCGCTCTGGGACAAAAGGCGAGCTGCATCCTGTGCAGAAAGCAAATCGCCACGGATGGCTTTCACGGAGCTGCACACAGGCTCCCGTGTCTTCCGATGTTTAGAGGGGTCGGGTCAGCCACCTTCTCTGACCGAGCAGAGAGCAGTTCTGAGCTGCTTAATCTGGGCTAAAGAAATACCAACTAAGGACCACTACCATCAGGCAGCTTCTCAGATCCTATCAGAAGAGCTTGATGGGGAAGAGAACATTTTAAAATGAGAGTTTGTCCAAGCAAGCACGTAGCCCACTGAAACTCACTCAACTACTGGGTCTCCAACTGTGAAATGAAGCCAGTCAGTGACAACAACCACTACTCATTACCTCCAGGTCAAGAAAAGTGCTTTCAGTGAAGGGTTAAGGCAGAACAGAGTTCTACTATGAGATGAACAACTTGATAAGTTAAACCAGATATATTAAACAGACTACATTTTAATATCTTGCAGTTACATTTTCTTAGTAATATACGGATGGGCTCCAAATAGACTTCGTCGCTGACCCAGTGATTACTGGCACGCCATTTTACGCGTGGTACAGGGTGGTCGGTAACCTCAAGGTGCCCGTGTCCACCCTATACACACCCCAAAGAGCCAGACTGTTGACAGAGTCTCACCATTGCCTGGTGGCCTGTCTTATTGATGTCAGCCACATGAGAGCAGAGACAGAACTTGATCATAAACTGTCACGTGCACACCATTAATAGAGCTACTGATTAAAACAGCCAATGTTTTTTGAATGCTTCCTATATGGTGGCCACCATTATAAGAAGTCTGTGTATTCTTAATCTTCCCAACTACCATAGACATAAAGATCTATTATTTATTTGCTCCATCTGATAGATGAGACAACTACGGGACAGAGAGGTGAAGTTATTCTCCCAAAGTCACACAGCTAGTAACTGGGGAAGCCAGGAATTGAATCCAGGCAAAATATTTCCTGATCCTGGATTCTGAACCAACACGATACAGCATCCATGTATGTAAATAAGTCAGGAAGCATGATACAGAATTTAGATGCAGGATTCAAAAAAATCTGGCTTTTAACTCAGCTGGTAAAGAATCTGCCTGCAATGCAGGAGACCCTGATTCGATTGCTGGCTCGCGAAGATCCCCTGGAGAAGGGATAGGCTACCCACTCCACTATTCTTGGGCTTCCCTGGCGGCTCAGATAGTTAAGAACCTGTCTGCAATGTGGGAGACCTGGGTTTGATCCCTGGGTTGGGAAGATCCCCTGGAGGAGGGTGTGGCCACCCACTCCAGTATTCTTGCCTGGAGAATCCCCATGGACAGAGAAGCCTGGCAGGCTATACAGTCCATGGGAGCGCAAAGAGTCAGACACGACTGAGCGACTAAGCACAGTGTTCTCACTTCCTTTATAATCTTAGGTGATTTACCTGTTATCTCTGAACCTTGGTTTTCCCATCTTTAATATGGATACCATAATAATAAGAAAACTACAGAGTGGGTAAGGTAGATAACGCACCTAGAACTATGCCTAACACAGTTTCAGTAAACATTATTTATAAAAGGAGGGCAAGATGGTCTGTATTATTCTTACGAAAAAAACTGCCTCTTTGGAAATGTTCCAGAATTGGGTTCTGAGAGATCTGTAATGTGAATTTGGGGAGCTATGCTATTAACAATTTAAAAGCAGAACTGCTTTCTTAATAATAGTTAAGATACTGAATAAATAAGAACAAAGGATACAGCAGGTTCCAAACACAACTGACACAGATAAGCTCCCCAAGTGTGATCTACAAAGCTGTTTAATGTTTGATATCCAACACGATTCTGGATGGCTCCAGGTAACTCCTGGAGTGCGGTGCAAGGCCTGAAAGTAATATCACATGCTGCCCACGGCACCTCATAATCCGGGTTGGCCTTGAATGGCCAGCAGCAAGTTCCCATCCATACCCTGCTCCCGTGGGTACAAGTCCCCCAGCTAAGCAACCCTTCTCCCAGTGGACCAGGTGCAGCTCCTTCTCGTTCCCAAGCAGTGGGTTTTCTTCCCTGCCGGCCTGTTAAATTACTCAAACAAGCCAATCACATCCTCCGCTGAGAACCAGGGGTCCCCTCACCCTCTTGATGCTGCAAAGCCTGCCTCCACCGTCCCTGCTGGCTCACTCTATTCCTGACAGTGCCCTCCTCCCCTGGGCAGTGAGCGCATGCGACTAATAAACTGCTGTCAACCTCATCTGTCCAGTGTCAGGCGTCATGTGTTTTAGACATCCCAGTAATCCTAGGACAGGAATCCCGACCTCACCAATGGGTGCACAGGAAGTAATTGTAACACCATGTATGATAAAAGCTGATCCGGAAGGAATTATATACCACCAGCAAGGGGATTTACATCCAAGGACCCTCACCAGGATTTCCTGTTTCTGACACGAGGTACATGGCAAGCTTTTCTTAATCACCAATTCCCACTACCCAACACTAGCCAACTCATCTCACCAACAAAATCTTTGGTGCTCCTTGGTAACAAGGTGCTGTGTGAGGAATGGTATTTAACTAGAAAATGTGATACTTACTCACAAGCCTAAGTTCCACTGGCATCACCAACTTGATGGACATGAGTTTGAGCAAGCTTTGGGAGTTGGTGATGGGCAGGGAAGCCTGGCACGCTGCAGTCCATGGGGTCAAAAAGAGTCAGACACAACTGAGTGACTGAACTGAACTGGTGTTCTACTGGAGTAGGAATACATACTCAGGTCTAAAATGCCTGAAATCACAAAAAGGGACCTCCCTGGTGGTCCAGTGGTTAAGAATTCATCTGCCAATGCAGAGGTACGGGTTCGACCCCTGGTCCTGGAAGACTCCACATGCCTCGGGGGCAACTAAGCCCATCCAGCACAGCTACTGAGCCTGAGCTCTAGCAGCGGCTGAAGCCCTCAAGCCGCAACTACTCCTAGAGCCCATGCTCTGCAACAAGAGGAGCCACGGCAATCAGAAGCCCCGCGCACCCCAACTAGACAGTAGCCCCTGCTCCCTGCAACTAGAGAGCCTGCATGTGGCAATGAAGACTCAGCGCAGCCAAAATAAATAATAGTTATAAAAAAATAAAAATACAATCACAAAAAGGAAGACACACAGGTCAGAAAACTTAGGAACTTTACTTTTCACCGAAGACCACCTGGTTGGCGTGTAGGTTTTGTTTTTCCTGAGCAACATCATCAAAAACTGCACCGTTACTTCCCGAGTCTCCCACAGAACCACAGAAATCCACCTTCACTAAGGAGGACGCTTCCCGCTATAAAAATCCCTGGTCACCTCAGAAGCATGACACAATTAACCTGGATATTAAAGCATAGGGTAGTCGCTCAGTGAAAAGCCAGTGGAGTATTTATATCAGGTTTGTTTTAAGAGTAGGTGGAAGATCAGGGACTCAGCCTTCCCAAAGCACAGAAGTATTTCCTCTCAGTTCAGATTCTATAAAAACTGGATGTTTCTCTAGCCCGACTTGGCTGTTGGTTTTAATTTACCTGCTTTACTTAACTGACCTTGTGCTTAGTCGCTCAGTCATGTCTAACTCTCTGTGACCTCACTGACTGCAGCCCGCCAGGCTCCTCTGTCCATGGGATTCTCCGGCCAAGAATACTAGAGTGGGCTGCCATTCTCTCCTCCAGGGGATCCTCCTGATACAGTGATCAAACCCAGGTCTCCTGCATCTCAGGCAGATTCTTTACCGTCTGAGCTACCAGGGAAGCCCTGAACATTGTTATAAACCCACAAACTTGACTGCATTCTACCTGCAGCACAGATGTTAGGTCCCCAGGCTGGGAGAGTAGGCGTGTAGGTACCTGCACATGAAGTATCTCCCTGGGGCAACCGGGTCCTTTAGCCACACTTAGAAAACATCTCTAATCTGCATCTTGTAAGAGGAGCTAAAACCTAAAGGACTATCTGCTTTAAATGTTAAAGTTCAGGAAATCAATTATCTTGAACTATAACTGATGGCTGTGTGAGTTCATTTCCAGGCTTGGAGATCAAGCAGGGCACAGCACACGAGAGCGGGAACCGGGTGATGAGGGTCTGACGTCAGCAGGCAGAGAGGCCGGCCTCTGCGGTCTAACTGCTAAAAATTCTCTCCCATCCTCAGACATGACATATTTGCCCTTTATGATACTCGCACTGACCAAAAAATAACCCCTTTTCTCAAGAAAATCCAAACAGAAGGAAAAGAAGCAGGATGAGTACCATGCTCAGGTTTTCAATACCCAGCACATCCCCACCTCTGAAATAACAGTAAAAGATCCTCCCTTCCTCTCCTCTCTTGTTTACCAGTGGATGCTACAAAAAAGAGACAGTTACTGGCAGCCTGAATTCAAATATTGAATACAATATCATGAAATTCCACATCCCTTTACATCCCATCATTTAAAAAAAAAAAAAGATTCACATGTTTCTTTCCCTCTCACAATAGTGCCAGCTCTGTGTAGGCTGAAATATATTAGGAGTCAAATAACATAAGACATTGGGCTTCCCAGGTGGTGCTAGTGGTCAAGAGCCCACCTGCCAATGCAGGAGACTTAAGAGATGTGGGTTCGATCCCTGGATTGGAAAGATCCCTTGAAGGAGGGCCCAGCACTCACTCCAGTGTTCTTCCCTGGAGAATCCCAGGGACAGAGGAACCTGGTGGGCTATAGTCCACGGGGTTGCAAAGAGTCAGACATGACTGAACAAAGTACAAAGCTCAATATGGGACATTAATGAAGTTACTTGCCTTCTTCAGACCCTTTCAGAGCAGTGAGTGTAACTGAAAATAACAGCATTTGTATCCCTTTAATTAACAGAATGTACACTGCTGAATAGACGTTAGAGTTGGACTATAAAGAAAGCTGAGCGCCAAAGAATTGATGCTTTTGAACTGTGGTGTTGGAGAAGACTCTTGAGAGTCCCTTGGACAGCAAGGAGATCCAGCCAGTCCATCCTAAAGGAGATCAGTCCTGAGTGTTCAGGGGAACGCTGGATGTTGAAGCTGAAACTCCAATACTTTGGCCACCTGATGTGAGGAGCTGACTCATTTGAAAAGACCCTGATGCTGGGAAAGATTGAAGGCAGGAGGAGAAGGGGATGACAGAGGATGAGATGGTTGGATGGCATCACCAACTCAATGGAGATGAGTTTGAGTAAACTCCGAGAGTTGGTGATGGACAGGGAGGCCTGGGGTCACGAAGAGTCGGACACGAATAAGCAACTGAAAACACTGCTGAATAAGTATTTCCCTTCAAAGTGGGCAACAATGAAAGCCATACGCTTACTCTGGCCAAGCTGGCATTGCTCAGAGTATTTTTCAAAGCCTCCTTCTAAGAGCAGACACAGGACTTCCTGAGCAGTCTAGCAGTTGGTTCGGGAGGATCCCGCATGCCTCGGGACAGCTAAGCCCACAAACCACAACTACTGAAGCCCACGCACCTAGAGTCTGCGCTCCGCAGCAAGAGAAGCACCACAGTGAGAAGCCCGCACAACGCGCCACTTGCCGCAGCTACAGAAACCCTGCATGCAGCGACAGAGATCCAGCATAGCCGAAAAGTAAATCACATCGTTCTGGTAAAAGAACAGACATAGACCCTGCCCTCCGTCCTGCTGTGGGTCCACGCATGGCACACACGCTTACACACATCTGCTGCAGCTGTCAGGCTCCTCTGCCCACAGTGTTTCCCAGGCACGATACGGGAGCCGGTTGCCATTTCCTACTCCAGGGGATCTTCCCGACCCAGGGATCGAACCCATGTCTCTAAAGCCTCTTGCCTTGGCAAGTGGATTCTTTACCATGGGCACCACTTGGGAAGTCCCCATCAAACAGTTCCGAGTTAAAGTCAAGTGCCTGTGTGCACGCATGCTCAGTCATGTCTGACTTTACAATCCCATGGACTGTAGCCCACCAGGCTCCTCTGTCCATGGGGTTCCCCCGGGCAAGAATGCTGGAGTGGGTTGCCATGCCCTCCTCCAGGGGATCTTCCCCACCCAGGGATCGAACCCAGTCTCTTACATCTCCTGCACTGGCAGGCGGGTTCTTCACCACTGTGCCACCCAGACTTTGTCTCCTGGCTAAAGTCAAATGACTTCTAAAGCAGGGAGCGGACACCATTCTTGTCTTCCCAGATTAGATTCTGTGTCCTTCTCAGAAATGGCAGCGTAGTTTTTGGTTGTTTCCATGGTTACCTGTAAGACTGGGTTTTCTCACCTGCCCTGTGCAGTTCTAACCAACTGGATGTGAGCAGCTCACACATATTACATATAAAAGGCACTAGACGCTGGAAATAAATATACACACACACACATATATATATGCCATTTAAAAAAAGAAAAAAGAGTGTGCCATGACTTTGAAGGCCTTTCTAAACCAGGCATTGCAACGGCTTAGCCACAGAGAGCCTTTCAAGGTGACCGGTTAGAAGAGGACTTGCTCACTCAGATGATTAAGTCTAGGTGTGTTCTGAGTCTCCTTTCTTTACTGTCAAATAAACAGGTGAGGTCAACGTTCACAGGAGATAAGGCTTTAACACAAGTTGTGTTGGGCCGCACCACACACAAAGCAATATCCACATACTCGAAAAGGAATTCAAACCCACACACGGGCAGAAGGCCCCTGGAAAAAGGCCTGTTTATGATAAAAGAAGAAAAGCAAAGACTGAAACAAAAGCATGCCTTAAGACTTACGTGGTTATCTTTATAGTAGTAAGAAAGGGCAGGAAATCGCCGTCTGCTCCGGAACTTGGAACTCCCCACTATGATGTGTGCCGTGGCCGACTTGGGAACGTACAGTTCAGTGGGGTAGGAGTCACAGACCTGGCGTGGAAAACACAAGGGGGTGTTTAGGCCTCGTGCTGTGCCAACGGCCATCAGAAATTCCCTTCCACCGGGCTTGAGGGTGGCATACTTCAGTTTTCTTAAGTTGCAGAGCCACTGCAGAGAAAATGAAGCTCTGATGCTGAGAAACCACAGTGAAGCAGCCAGACACGCTTTGGCCCCCGGCCCTTGGGCACTGCCCCTTATCTCCAAGGGCTCTTCATGGGAGTGGGAGGCAAGACAGGGACCAATGGGCGTTTCATCAATCGAAAAGGGAAAAGCAATTTTGCATCCTGGCAACGGAGAAAATGTCAGCTATCTGTTCAAGAGAGCCCCACCCTGGGAGACGATGTCCTCCTCGGGGCCCCTTCTGTCCCCAGCACGTCCCCTGTGTGCTCCCATCTGAGGCAACAGCTGAGCCAGCGTGCTCTCTGGACCCCTCTCCCCTCCAACCTCCCAAGCTCATCTTCAGGGTCAACTCAGGGCCTCTCCCCTGGACTTCCTAGCATTCCACCCCTCACCACGCATTACATCAGCTTCCTGCTTTTTATGTGTCGATTTTACAAGTGGTAAGAAATGAGTTACCCTTTCTGCGCATCCCTGACAATGATTCCCCCAGTGGAATCTCTGGAGCCTTAGAATGATCTTGGGAATTTTATCAGAAATTAGGGGTTTAGGGGACTTTCCCTGGTGGTCCAGGGGCTAGGACTCCACTCCGAGCTTCCAATACGGATGGCGGGGTGGGGGAACCTGGGTTTGATCCCTGCTCATGAAACTAGGTCCACACAGGCCACAACTAAGAGTTCACATGCTGCAACTAAGTGCAGCCAAATAAATAAATAGATTTAAACTTTTTAAAAACCATCTTAAAAAAAGAAATCAGGGGTTTAGAACCCGGTTCCAGTTTGCCAACTTTATGACTTTCGAGAAATCAAACTACTGAGCACTTGCTACTCTCTTAAGACTGACAGGGAACAGAAATGACATCGCCTGGGGCCGATACAAGGATCAAATCAGGTAACACCCACAAGACTCTTCACCCATGAGGTCTGACAAAAGTGGCAGTGGTGGCAAGAGTAATGGTAGTTGACTTGTTGCTAGACACATAATTTGCTTTGACATTGGTCAACCCATCTTTTGGGGCTTGCCTGATAGCTCCGTGGTAAAGAATCGGCCTGCTAGTGCAGGAAACACAGGTTCAATCCCTGGTCTGGGAAGACCCCCTGGAGGGGGATGAAATGGCAACCCGCTCCAGTATTCTTGCCTGGGAAATCCCATGGACAGAGGAGTCTGACGGGCTATAGTCCATGGGATCGTAAAAGAGTTAGATGTGATTTACTGGCTAAAATAACAACAACCCTCTTTTTGCAACAGGAGGATCGTTTGAATGGCAGTTCCTAAACTTTATTTCCTAGAAGTCAAGGATCTTCTTGGGCATTTGAAGGCGAGTCCTCAGGCAGGTGCAGCAGCAGGCGAAATGCTGTGTGCACATCCTCTGTCCATTTCGCCTGTCCTGACCACTCTGAACCTCGAGACAGAAGGGCACAAAAATGCACCTCGAAGCTCATGCCAACTGTCCTGTGCTCAGGGCCTCCCTCGCCTGCCTCCCCGCTTGTCTTTGTTACCAGGCTGGGCACTACACTAAGCAGGAGACGGAAAGGCCACTGAAGTGACCCTCTCAGGCCCAAAGCATTTCCCCAAAGGCATTTTAGGAAAGATTACCAAAGACACCAACGTGGGCTCTGGCACTGAGACTCGGGAGGAAAGTCCCAGGAACAGATGGTCCAACCTACTTGGAACCTGAGCGTTTACTGGAACTACTTCCCCAGACACTGCCCTGGCTTCCCCTGCAAATCCGGTGTCTGGACCTCTCTCGAGTCAGCAGCCAGGACATGACTATACTGAATTCAAGAGACGTGTGGTCGCTGCATCAGACTTACTATGTTTTCTTAAAATAACAGTTTTAAAAAGGAAATTAGTAGGTTTTCAGAAGTTGGGAATTACCCACTTTCTTTAACGGCGCTGGTGGTGGTTCAGTTGCTAAGTCTTGTTCAACCCTTGCAATGCCATGGACAGTGGCCCACCAGGCTCCTCTGTCCATTGGATTTGAAAGGCAAGAATACTGGAGTGGGTTGCCACTTCCTCCTCCAGGGAAATCAACCCTGAATATTCATTGGAAGGACTGATGCTGAAGCTCCAACACTTTGGCCACATGATGCAAAGAACTGACTTACCGGAAAAGACTCTGATACTGGGAAACACTGAAGGAAGGAGGAGAAGAGGACAACAGAGGGTGAGAGCTTAGATAGCATCACCGACTCAATGGACACGAGTTTAAGCAAACTCTGCGAGGTGGTGAAGGACAGGGAAGCCTGGAATGCTGCAGTCCACAGGGTCACAAAGAGTCGGACATGACTTCACAACTGAACAACCACCACCACCAGGGTGGACAAAAGTAAATTTATCCCTGCTCTTATGAATGCAGACAGCACTTTCCAGCAGAAATTAAACATAAATCCTAGAAAGTGCTGACGGGTATTGCTTTTGCCACAAGCTCACACAGCTGAAGTTAAAATTATGACAATGAATAATACAAAGCACAGTGCAATTTATGCTGCCAGATTATGAGACTACTCAATGTACCCCCTGAAAGTTTGTCTGGCCTGGAAAATCACGTAAGAAAATTCAGAGAGAAAATGAGAAGTTCAGAAAAGTGGGAAATGCTTCTCTTTTGAATTTTCTTTATATTTACTCTGCCTTAGACAACTGAAGTGGATTAAGTTAAAAACATTCCTGCATAATATTTTTATTTTAATAAGGGAGTGATTTGCTTTATCTTCCACTAAATAAACCCTCCTGTGGTGCCTCCATGTCTTACTTGGTCTGGTCAAGAAGAATCTTTTGGGGTAATTCATTCACTCGTTCAACAAGTTTTTTTAAATTGAAATATATTTAATATATAACACTGTATAATTCAAGGTGTGCGTGTACATGCTTAGTCACCCAGTTGTGTCTGACTCTTTGCAACCCCATGGTCTATAGCCTGCCAGGCTCCTGTGTCCACGGGATTCTCCAGGCAAGAATATTGGAATGGGTTGCCATTTCCATCTCCAGGGAATCTTCCCGACCCAGGGATCAAACCCGGGTCTCCCACATGGCAGGCAGACGCTTTACCCTCTGAGCCACCAGGGAAACACAACTTAAGGTGTTCAGTTCAGTTAAGTCACTCAGTTGTGCCCTACTCTTTGTGATCCATAGACTGCAGCACGCCAGACCTCCCTGTCCATCATCAACTCCCAGAGCTTACTCAAACTACTAAAACTCATGTCCATTCAGTCAGTGATGCCATCCAACCATCTCATCCTCTGTCATCCCTTTCTCCTCTGCCTTCAGTCTTTCCAGCATCAGGGTCTTTTCCAATGAGTCAGTTCTTCCCATTAGGCAGTCAAAGTGTTGGCGTTTCAGCTTCAGCATCAGTCCTTCCAATGAACATTCAGGACTGATTTCCTTTAGGATAGACTGGCTGGATATTCTTGCAGTCCAAGGGACTCTCAAGAGTCTTCTCCAACACCACAGTTCAAAAGCATCAATTATTTGGGGCTCAGCTTTCTTTATGGTCTCTCACACTCATACATGACTACTGGAAAAATCTCAGCTTTGACTGCTGCTGCTGCTAAGTTGCTTCAGTCGTGTCCGACTCTGTGCAACCCCATAGATGGCAAGCCCACCAAGCTCCCTGTCCCTGGGATTCTCCAGGCAAGAACATTGGAATGGGTTGCCATTTCCTTCTCCAATGCATGAAAGTGAAAAGTGAAAGTGAAGTCGCTCAGTCGTGTCCGACTCTTAGCGAACCCATGGACTGCAGCCTACCAGGCTCCTCTGTCCATGGGATTTTCCAGGCAAGAGTACTGGAGTGGGGTGCCATTGCTTTCTCTGTAGCTTTGACTAGATGGACCTGTGTCAGCAAAGTAACATCTCTGCTTTTAATATGCTGTCTAGTTTGGTCATAGCTTTTCTTCCAAGGAGCAAGTGTCTTTTAATTTCATGGTTGCAGTCACCTCACCATCTGCAGTGGTCTTGAAGCCCAAGAAAATAAAGTCTGTCACTGTTTCAATTGTTTCCCCATCTATTTGCAATGAAGTGATGGGACTACATGCCACGATCTTTGTTTTATGAATGTTGAGCTTTCAGCCAGCTTTTTCATTCTCATTAAGAGGCTCTTAAGTTCTTCTTCACTTTCTGCCATAAGGGTGGTGTCATCTACATATCTGAGGCTATTGATGTTTCTCCCAGCAATCTGGATTCCAGCATGTGCTTCATCCAGCCTGGCATTTCACAAGATATACTCTGCATATAAGTTAAATAAGCAGGGTGACAATATACAGCCTTGACGTACTCCTTCCCCAATTTGGAACCAGTTCATTGTTCCATGTCCGGTTCTATCTGTTGTTTCTTGACTTGCAAACAGATTTCTCAGGAGGCAGGTAAGGTGGTCTGGTATTCCCATCTCTTTAATAATTTTCCACAGTTTGTTGTGATCCAAACAGTCAAAAGCGTTAGCATAGTCAATGAAGCAGAAGTAGATGTTTTTCTGGAATTCTCTTACTTTTTCTATGATCCAGTGGATGTTGGCAATTTTATCTCTGTCCCTCTGCTTTTTTAAAATTCAGGTTGAACATCTGGAAGTTCACAGTTCACATTCTGATGAAGCCTGGCTTGGAGAATTTTGAGCATTACTCTGCTAGCGTGTGGGATGAGTGCAATTGTGTGGTAGTTTGAGCATTCTTTGGCATTGCCTTTCTTTGGGATTGGAATGAAAACTGACCATATCCAGTCCTGTGGCCACTGCTGAGTTTTCCAGATTTGCTGACATACTGAATGCAGCACTTTAACAGTATCATCTTTTAGGATTTGAAATAGCTCAGCTGCAATTCCATCACCTCCACTAGCTTTGTTTGTAGTGATGCTTCCTAAGGGCCACTTGACTTCACATTCCAGGA